GCAATAATTCGGAGTGTTCCATCCCGGATGGATCAGGTACCCCAGCTCTTCCGCTTGTCCACCCCCGAACAACACCAAGGCTTCGGGTCCCATTTCCTTAAGGTTGGGGCTGTTCCCGTCTCTCCACTTGTTTTAGAATTGTATAGATGGGAAATGGTGTTGATTCCCGGATATTTCACTTTCACATTCAGGGTCTCAAATAATCCCTCAAGGCGCATATAGACTTTGTAATATACCACCCTATCCCTGATAGATAGAGTGTCACATCCCTGATGAACAAGGGATTACCTACTCTCTTCACCGTACTCCGTACTCCCCCCGTATAGCGCACATCAATCATTATAATTGCTTTTTTTTAACCGTAGTCGGGTCAATCACTTGGCTTCAACGACTTCCTGGCGCCACACTCAAAAAGTCCGTTGTAGACCAGAAACAGAAGGCTGTTACGGAATCGCTTGGCTCATTATCCACAGTCTTGGCTCTAAAATCCCGGTGGCAAAACCATGTGTCTTGATGTTCGAACAAGATAGCCTCTATTACCTCATCACAAGGTACATCGGGTAGCCTCGGTTGGCTCGGGATATCTCGATTGCCAGTCGATAGACCCAAGTTGTCGCAAGAAGCTTCGATCTTCGCGAAAAGCATGTGCTGAGGATCATAGACGGAATACCACATATGTCAGAGGTTAGATCTCTCCGCTTGAAAAGGAAAGTAGGCTGAAACACAAATAGAACCTGAGGCGTTCTGGTGGTAAATGCTCCTGAACGTGGCAACCCACTCGCAGTCATCTTAACAGTGGTGATCTTCTGACCCTACAACCTTATTATGTACGCCGGAAGAATGGCTGACGCTTTGTGGCTTTCTTGTTTTTTCTCCTTCCCTTTGTTGCTCTCTTTGTTATGATCGACAAGCCATTTACACAGTCCCAACGACTTTGGTATGGAGTACGGAGTACGCCGTAAACCTCTGCCTAATCGTGTGGCGTAGATTTATCGTAGATTAACTGGGCAAAGAGAACCTTGGAAGTAGATCCCATTCAAATAACCAATAGTTCTACGTTCATGATATATCCGGCTCTTGATGATGCACGCAGTGTACGAGGCAAGACCATGTGTGGGTTGGAAGACCCACATGAATTCCCTATTAGGGGCGATGGATGCAGCCCACCTCAGCCATTGAGGTAATCGGACATGATCTAGCACGGAATCAGAAATATAATACCTGTAACCAAAAAAAAGGGCCTAAAAGACGAATGTAGATGAAGTCCAAGAAAGGCTACTGTACTCCGTATATTGTATAGTGTCCAGTTTGCACAGCCCATCATTTCCGACCTCAAAGGGTCCAGACTCGCAGACGCGCTCGTGTTGACGCTACGAAACTTAGAAAAGAAATCACATTCAAACAAAAAAAAAAAGAAAAAAAAAAAAGAAAGCGCCTAAAGTCTCCGTCGATCAGCACCTAAGAGATAACCTGCGACTATCATTGACCTCCCTAATCGGTTCTGTAGATGCACGCTAGATGAAACGGTAATCACTTGGCTACAAGATATGCGTAGGTCGATCAGGTAGGTACGGTACAGCATGCATGCTTTGCTTAAGGCACATATGCATATTTACATATTGCTGCGAAGCAGGGTGCGGCTGGTGAGCTTGACGCGGAGAGAGAAAATCGAAAAACCGGTGTGCTTTGCATACGAAAAAGAAATGAGGCGTCAGTCAAAATACACCCATGAGCCTGGTCTTCGGATACTTTGTTTTTGTGTGCAGACTAGTTTTATTTGTGGGGATGGCTTCTGGGTAGGGATTGATTTATTTCGTGGGGGCCATGTCATATTTGGATATTATCGAAAACAAAGGTCTACCAGCTTCGGAATAAGCAAGATGCACGTAGGAGAAAGGAAGTTGAAAGCCGTTCAAAAGCTATTTCGAAGCTGCATGAGCATCACGCAAGGACAATGGCTTTTCACGAGGGTTAGAGTTCGATGAGAGATTTTTTTTCTCTTACTCTTTCCCTCGGCTGTGAGTTGCTGATCCAAGAAGCTCTGACTACCCCGCATTTCATTTCATCTTGGCGATTGAGAGATAATATGACGCTGTTGGTGAGCTCCTCTGATTTGACCTATGCAAGGTGGCTGACCCCCCCCCTCTTTGGGCTGGTTGCTAAGCCGCTTACAGTGTTGGTAATTTGTAGGTAATGGGTTGTATACGAGAGAAATGTTATTGATGTACCTTGTACTCCGTACAATGCAAATGAAAAGGGATCTACAAGATCGGAAATATCTCACAATGTCGATCATCTATAACTACCATGTGAAGGGTATGTTGTACATACAACATAAAATAATACACTGGGATAAACGTACCAACATGAGCTCCCAAATAAATTCTCCTCATGGCCCCAGAAGCCACTAAATTAATCTCCGACGCGCGCATGGCGACGCACTAATGGGAGAAGCTCAGGCTGCTATCCCCCACTTGGGTAACCAGGAAGCTACAACATAAGCAGTTAGGTGGATTCTGCCTAAGCAATCTGGCTATTAACTCCGCGGGCTTTTCCACCAAGAAGAGACGGCATGAATGTGACACGACTTATCGTGATTTTAAGGAACGGTTGATGATCGATGGTGATAATGCCCCCGATAAGATCAACAGACTGGAGATAAATCCTCGAATTACCTGTCCTCCTCCGCATTCTCTCGCTTGCGTTGCGTGAAAGTCGGTCAACACTCGGGGTTTGGTCTTCCTATCAGCGCTAAATGATAACTAACCAGCCAGGATGTTGGAACTAAGGGTGAACAGCCACCAATTGACCCCTTGCAGGGATTTTGACTCCAGTTTCGAAGTTAGAAACCAAATGTTGGTTCTGAAAGCTAACCGTGTAAGCGAGATAGATGGAAAGAATGTGATCACATCATCAAAAAAAATCAAAAATCAAAAAAACAAAACTTAACGTAAGCCCCTATCACAGCTGACAGCAACGTTAGTATGAATTTGGTACGCCTCCTTACTGAAAACACGGGGTCTCTTGCCATAAAAGACACAATCTCCGAGCTCCTGACTCTTATCAAACGCGATGTAAATATAGAAGAGAGATATCGGGACCAGAACATGACGGGATCTAAGTTAATTTCGTTCATCCCCCGCAAAAAAAAAAAAGTAAAAATTCCCGCACCTTTCTCCCGATTTCTGTTACAAGGGGCCCCCTTGATACACTTAAAACGGGAAAACATCGGTTCCTTTACTTCGTGCAATCACCGTCCCATATTACTTTCAAACAAGCCCGGTGGAGCCCAGAGGAGAACCAAAACCCGAGGGCTGAGGTATAGCGGCAAGAGGGCTTGGCATCTTTCCAAAGCGATGTACATCATCCTTGCCAGTCATCTGATGTAGAACGACATCGTCTTAATCGAGGGGAAAGAACCTTACCGATTCGAGAAAATGACGTTCTCAATGAGAATGGCGTGAATTCCCTTTGTAGGACCGTCTCGGCCGTCGGGTACGCATGCACGCCTTGCTGCAGCTAACGTGGTAGTATGGAGTATTTTCGATAGCGTGGCTTTATATCTTGCTTGGAATGTGGATGTGCATTTTCCTTGGTTTGAGATACAGTGCTGTGGGTGCACTTGAGTTATGGTGCGATGTTGTAGGGGAGAGTGAGATGGCCTGACGTCCAGACGAAGGGCATATTATGTCCACGGGTGTTGTGTGATGGTTTATCAAACGTGATTTTACAGTTGTAACTCCCGAGGTCAGGTTAGTTATGTAACTATATATGGAGTCCACGGGTAGGTGTACCCAAATCCACACATATACGCTGTCCGAGTAAAATTGAGCACGCCCCTTGTGGAGGGGTTCCAAGGTCCACGGGTGTCTAGGTGCGTGTTAGATAAGCAGACTGGCCCGCTTCTAAGGCTGATCGGGCCGGGGCCCGACTCCAGGTCGGGACAATGCCGACCTCGGGAGGTCATCACCCGGTCAGCACTATTACATAAGCACAAGGTTGGAATCCTTCGAGTAGAGATGGACCTTCCCAGACTCAGGTTATTTCCCACCTAGGTGTGTTAATCATCCTCGAGTGTTCTCTCTAATGCATAAAGAAAGAACTATACAATAGGAAGACAAAGGGAAAGACAGGAGAAGTAGGGTCTAATAACGTGCGACATGAACATACGTAACACGTCGATCTCGCGAAATATGCTCATGAATTCCTTTGGCCGTTCGTGTTCAAGAAGATTGTAGATAATTTTTACCTTACTACAAACTCTTAAGTTAGTAAATGTGCCCCTGTCAATGTATATTCCGTTCACCAAGCCAACGAACACGATACACGAGTTCACGAATAAGGAAAAGGAAATTTGAGGTATAGCACCCATTGAGAGGCATTGTTCACTTTCCTTTTTTCCTCTCAAGAATATTAACCGGGCAATCACGTTAAAGTTATCATCTCCAAACAAAGTGAAATTGTATAGGACAATGGACACTCAATGGCAATACAATTATACACTGGCCTAGATGGCGTTTGCCAATCGAGTTATGAAACTTTCCAAAATAGTATAGTATTTCCCTTGGGCTTTGATATACCTAGGGGAATTATTTGATTTGTTTAGAACTGAACCGCTTGATATTCGCAATTATGATTCCAAGGCGCGAATTTCGTATTACAACCAGGAATGGGATATAATGTGAGATATCTAATATTGAAACTATGGAAACAGAGGGATTTTATATGACAGGAATCATTCGAGGCATGGGTACCTTATGGTGAAATTGGTTCATGGATTGAACTGAGAAAGAGAGAGAGAGAAAGAGAGAGAGAGAGAGAGAGAGAGAGAGAGAGAGAGAGAGAGAGAGAGAGAGAGAGAGAGAGAGAGAGAGAGAGAGAGAGAAAGAAAGGTGTCAATTATGGAGAGGAGCAGAGCCGTCCTATCTGCTCAAGGCAAGAAGTTTCCCTCAACAGCGGCTCAATGCAGTACTCGGCTCTATGTTTCTCAACACAATCCTTCATTCATGAGCACCGATATCTCGAAGATATGGGTCAAGTGTAGGCGACCTCCCCAATAATGTCTCAAGGGCCATCATCTCATTATGACTTCCTCCGGGTGCTAGTATCATTTTTCGGTATCGGAGGCCAGCATCACAGCTCATTGGATTTGAGTGAAAATTGGAAAACCAAAGGTCAGCCGCTAGTATACGGGTGCTAGAAGATGAGTTAACAGCCAGGATACTTCTCTATATAAATGGCGGTAAAACATACTAGAGATAGGAATAATAGTTTGCTTCTTGGCCCCACATATAATGTGAAGTAGTAACATGTCCATTCCCCCAGTCTATCCTATTCTCAGGGCCCTGTAGAAGTGTCATTTTCTGCAGGAGCGAGTTATAAATTTCGCCAGTATGGATTGACTGAATAAGATGGTGGGAACTAGGGCAGTGGATTTGCATGTCGAATTTGCTGAATGCAAGTTGCCTGAGAGTGAGAATCCCTTGATTGACCTTTTTAGCTGCAATGAGGCTGCGGACCAGATTTTCCGGGATCTCCTTAGGAGGCTGCACAAGAGTAGAAGGCCATTGTTTGTCAGAGACGTAGGAATAGTGGCAACTAAGCATCTGGAGACATTCAGGGACCCAACACCAATATTCTAGCAATTGGCTGGGAGCCTCAACGAAATCTGCAACTGTTCGATGTCCGTGGAACATAGCATAATTGGATCTTCCGAGGAGATCATGTATGCCTTTTCCAGTATTAGTATGTATAAATTCAACATTTCTAATATTAATTTCGCTTACCGTGACCTAACTCATGGAAAATCGTAATTAATTCTCGATGCTGTAGAAGAGCCGGCTTCTCTAACGATGGTTGTGAGACATTGCATACCAATGCGGTGGCAACCGGGTGCTTCTGTTTTTCGACGGAGAAGTAAGACTTGAAGTAATGTGTTAATGACTTTTTCCCTGATATAGTTTCACCTAGGCACGAACAGGATAGATGTTAAAATTGGCTGCATGGTTGTACTTGCCCTCTCGAGGGTAGATATCAAGGTAAAGAAATCCCAGAAAAGCCGATTGTTCATCTCTCACACTAAAGACTCGAACGTCGGAATGCCAAATCTGCTCCTTAGTGACTTCAACGGGTGCGATTGACAGGCTAAAAATTGTTTCAAAGACCTTCAGCATTCCTCGAATTGTGATCTCTGTGGGGAAGTACTCCGCAATCAGCTCATGATTGGTATCGTACTTTTCTCGTAGTAAACGATCATGGTAGTAGTCGAAATCCCAGAGATAAAGGGAACAGGAAGAGTGGTCCCCATCTTTTCCATCTCCTTTTTTAAGGCGCTGTAACGTTCCTAACTCCTTCTGCGCAAGGGGCTGCAAGTGATTGTAAAGTTCATCCAGTAATTGGTCAACATCGTGGGGGGATTTAATCATCTTATGCCTTGATTTCTGCGCTGCAAATGATGAAAATCCAAGCAAACGGGCCAATTCATCCCGAAGGATAACTGCCTCGTTAAATATTTCAAGATTCTCTGGGAAGATATTTTGGCTCCGAAGAAATACCTCTTTTCGTGTCTCAGCGATATGACACCGAGTCAATACCATAGTGATATCTGGCTTCTTAAGCTTGATACCAATTTGGCTAGTCGAGGAATGTTTAGGTAGTGCTTGCAGGCTTTCTGTGGCTATCCCTTTTAGCTCATAGTGGTCTTTCCACACATAGCCAGGGTCAGAGCTAAGATTCTCCATAAATTCAACTCGAAGCTCAATGAGACGATTTGAGATCCAAAGGAATCGGTCCCGCTTATCCCCTTCAAGATCAAGCCCATTTTCCATAAACATGGAGTGAATCATGTTGAGAAGTTTTTGGTCTTCGCTTTTAGTATCGACGTAGTTTTTGTAAACAGCGTTCACTAAGGCAAAAAGAGACGGTGTTTGGAAAATACCCAGGTATGCTTTATCTACCATATTCACAGCCGCTGACGATGCGTTACGCATTTCAGACGAAGGGGAAACTGCTTGGAAAAGGGCTAGGTATTGAACCTTTCCTTTGACCTCGTTGTCAATATCTGCCAGCGGGAGAAGAGTATTCTCAAATGTTGCGTCTTGCGGCGAAACATGGTTAACCAGGTCATTCGCAGCTTGTCGTACTTGGTTCACCAAGTCTGTCGCAATATCCAGCAGTGTGGACGGGCTGAGATTGAAAGTAGGTAGTTCGGGAAGTGTTGCCATTTTCGAAAAGGTCAAAGTGGCCTAGGCTTGAAAAGATTCCAGTTTTCTTATTTTTGGTACTGGCAGGGAGAGATAAATGTAGTCGATGGAAATGAAAAGAGCTAGAAAGAGACCTGCCAGCAAGATCAATTTTAATAGAGACGGCACAATGATCGGTTTGGGGGAAGGGAAGGTGGAGTGCTCACTGGTGGGTGGGGTCAGACAAAGAGCACTCGAAGGATTTCGATGATGTACTGTGACAGAAGTGATACTCCAAAACGGTATTGATTCGCTCACACAGGCAGTTGTATAATTACAGCCCCTAAAAGCACAATCGTTGGAATTAATCTTAGAAGCATACAACGGAGATAAACCAGCGTCTGCAGCTAACACAAGGCTATCAATGCAGGGGCCAAATGCAGTGCACGGTGTCTCTGTCTCAGTTTCGCTTCGTGCGTTAGTATGAAATTACTGGTGGCTTTGGTCAGTTGCAGCATCCATTCCAAGAGCCATAAACCCGGACTGATATCATGTAGAATGTTGTAGCCTACCACAACTGTTGTCACTCCAGGTTGTCATTACTATTGAGTGTCTGGTCTCACGTTACAAAGATGGTATTCAAGAACACTCCCCTTCATCAAATCAACTATCGGCGTCCTTTTATTAATGAAAAATTATAACAGAGCAAATGGATGCAGTATGCCTAGGAGTATGTATCTGTCCCATATGATGTCTCAGGCACTCAGAGATTGTCGAGGCCAATAACGTTAGGTTCTACTATGTTTGTTTGATTTGTCTTTATTATTAGGCATATAATATTACCCCTAGTATAAATTGCCGGAAATAAAATAGGGGAATAACACACCAGAGTTGACAGAGATCAGGCATCCAACATATTAATAACTATTCTTATCTTATTTTTCCAGATGTGGAAATATAGTACCTCGAAGACAAAAATGCGGTTATAATATCATTGGTTGGTTGGTTCGATATATTATTGTTTCGTGTCGCAACATCCCGACTAGACCCTAAAGCATCTGTCACTAAGACAACATCCTGGAACAATGTATCCTGCGGCCGATCTTCCTGTGATTTGTATGGTCCTATGATGGGAAATGACTTGGAACACTTGGTCCAGATATTCATCCCGTATTTGACTCCCGAATGAACAGGTAAGCCGGCATGGAATGTCCGTTCATCGCCCGTTCCATTACTGGCATGTGTTAGGGTGTGCGATCACGTGACCTTGTGTCCCAGGACTGGAGGTTAGATAGTTCTCTCTCTGTTCCTTTCTCCTCTTTTCCTCCGAGTCAGTCAAGTCAGTTAGTACAATACAAGGTATTACTTTCTACCTTCAGAGCTTCCTCTCCAAGAAGATTGCGTTATCGTTCGTCAAAAATAGAACGTCTCTTCTGCCTTACTTTATTTCATGTTTAAATCTTTATTCGTCAGACATCAAAATGGGTGACCTGGAAACATTCGATGGCTACATGATCAGCTCTCATGTGAGCTGGTCTGATTTCCAGAAGCAAGAGGTGGCTTTACCTTCAAGCTTATTCGTAAAATTTACGAAGAGTTGCTGGCTTCCCATCTCTACAGTTCAAACCAAAGTCGCTCGGTGAGCGCGATGTTGAAATTGCGCTAGAGGCATGCGGTGTATGCGGAAGTGATATCCACACCCTGACTGGCAGCTGGGAACAAGCCAAACTACCTGTCTGTGTAGGACATGAGAGGTCGTGGGCAAGGTTGTTAGGATCAGTCCTCAGCCCACCCAAATTAACACCAGTGAAGATGGCCACAAGGAGGCTGTGGAGAAGGTGTATAACGGGAAGGCCAGATATGGTGTCACATCGGTAGGCTGTTACAACCTGCCCCTGGACTGGTGAGTTACACATTAGGCCTAAAAGACCACTATATCTGAGCATTATGCTCAAATAGTCCAGGCTCCGATATATGTATTGCGTGTCATAACATAGGCTACGACAAAGTCTTCGGTACGAGAAACTAGGCAGGCATCTAAATACAAGATGGATAAAGCCCTGAGGGTAGATGGTGATGACAGATAGTATGAACGGAAATAAATGCATGTACCACCAAGTGCCCACATTCATAGCTTCTATATGAGCTTATCTATTCGACTGGATCTCTCGATGTCGTTTGTAAAGCCAAGTTAAACGGGGGGCCTGCCCAGAACTTCTCTAATGTGGCAAATGTGACTGAAGGGCGTAGTTGGATAGAGTCCACGAGCATGTAGGCTCTACAGTTGTTCTTATGCTTTCAAAATTTACACACCGTAATGCAGCTAGACATCATCGGACGTCGTCGCTTCCGTCGAGGAAAAATACGCTTATCTCGGTTTAAGTTTCGGCTTCGCACTCGTATTCGTACCATTTGCCTGGAGCCGTTAGCGCAAAGACTACATAGGTCTAACACATCGGGCTGCCAAGCAGCGAGCGTAAGGGTGGATGCATGTTTCAGCCCGGATTCCGGGATGAGATGGTGCCGCCGGGTGGCCGGTAGAAAAGAATTCCGACCACGAAATATGATGGCATTCGAGTAAGTACCTCATACTCTTGTGTTTCCTACTAGGTAGTAGACTAAACTCACTGCTTTTTATATAAACCACGTTGTCCTTCTTAGCGCATCTAGCAAGATTCCCCGACCATTGTCATATCATTATGGCAGATACAATGCAAATGTGGCAGTACGCCAAACTCCAAGGCAACATCGAGGACGCCATTCACATAGTCACCGGTCCCATCCCAGCAGCCTCGTCTCTCACTAAAGACCAAATTCTTGTCCGTGTTCTTACCGTCGCCCTCAATCCAGTCGACCACAAGCTCCCTGAGTCCTACGTGGGGTCTCTATTTATACGCCAACCCGCCATTCCTGGCCTTGACTTCTGCGGCCGAGTTGTTGCCGCCCACGACTCAGTAACCACTTTCAAGGAGAACCAGCTGGTCTTCGGTGGGTTCTCACGTGCTACACAGAACGGCACATTGGCAGAATACGTGGTCATCTCGGCTTCTGAGTGTGCCGCACTGCCTGACAATATTGACCCCGAACATGCCGCCGCCGCAGTAACTGCCGCGACAACGGCTCTGCAGTCACTTCTGCCGGATATTGCCAAGCCGGGGGCCAGTATCTTCATAAACGGCGGCAGCGGCGGGGTTGGAAGCTGGGGCTTGCAGTTTGCGAAGGCCATGGGTGCTAGCGTCGTCACCTCGTGTTCAGGCTCAGCCGTCGATATGTGCAAGGAACTCGGCGCTGACGAAGTCTTCGACTATAGGCAATCGGATGTTATAGCAGAGTTAAAATCCCGGCCTTCTAGTTTCGACCTCGTTGTCGACAATGTTGGGAATAACTCGGATTTGTACGATGTTAGCTCTATGATCCTCAAGCCTGGTGGCACTTTCGTCCAGGTGGGTATCGGCAGCAACGTAGACCTCAGAAGCATGGCAATGACGGTGAAGAGGTCACTACTTGCATCCCTCCCAATGTGTGGCTGCAAGTACTATTTTGTGAACTCTAAGAATTCAACCGAGTCTTTATCGCAGATTGCACAGTGGATGGCTGAAGGCAAGGCCAAGGCAGTGATTGATAGCAAGTTTGCCTTCGCGGAGGTGCCGCAGGCCTTCCAAAAGCTGAGGACTGGACATGCTAGAGGCAAGATCGTTATTCGAGTTGCCGAAATTTGAACGTGTCATCGCTACATTTACAATTCTGATCCTGTACAATAGGCCAACAAACTCTCAGACACCTACAGTGCCAAACTGCACAAATTTATTCTCGTAGTGCCTTTCTTGAATCTTTGGACTGCCTCTATTGACGATATCATTCTGTTGTCCCGATACGCACTAATCGATGAATTGGGGTTAGGCCGGTAACTACATTTATATAAAATGGGTCGTGGCCCACATACAAAGAAAAGCACTATAGGCGCAAATGAGATACATCAGGCAATCCAACATCAGCCCAGAATGATACCTAGGAGATACTTTACTATATCCACTATAATGCTAAACTCAATATTTCAACCAACCCAACTCTAACTTTACCAACTTGTCACGCCGCGCTCACGATCAAACCCAGCACGCAACTGGTGCCCAGACTTGAGCAATTTGCCCTGCAAGACAGTATACCGAATAATATTCTCACACTCTTCAGGCCGCACACGCGCCAACCAGATTCCCTGCGCAGCACCCTCATCCTCAACTCGCCCCTCCCCATCCGCAGGAGCATCACGCTTGTACCAATCAAAGTCCCGACGACGGTACACAATCACATTGGCAGAGTATTTGTGTCCACCGACATGGCTAATGAAGTAGATGCCCACACCGCCAGGCCGCTGGTCGTCCATATCACGGTATAGACCGAGGGGACGCAGGTGGCGCTCGAACTCGCGGCGGAGTAGGGGTGCAGATTGCCCGCAGCGTGCGTCGCGGGTCCGCTGCGAGCAGAGAAGGATTACTGCAGCATGCGGGCAGGAGTGGGACTTGAGGGATGTGGTGATTGATGTTGTGGATGGGTGTGGGAGGTCTTGTGGCGTGGGGCTTTGGTCCTGGTTTGCTTCTGTTGATTTTTCCGGCGAGGGTGGGATTGCGCCTAGTGGCGTTGTCGTTGTCAGAGATCGGTTGACGAAGTTCTCGATCAGGTCTGGGACTAGCTGTGGGGTGACGTGCTCGACGACAGTGAAGCTAGGCAGTAGGAGGACGTTTGTTGGCTGCTTGCCTGCTTCGGCCATGTGGTATTCATCTGGAACGGGCATGTTCGATGCTGACAATTTGAGCCGCTGTGAAATGTTGTTGTCAGCTTTGGCATTGGCAGGTAAAGAGGGGTGGCGGTGGATATTGTCATACTCCGTTGCTCGGTTCCAGTCCTCCCTTCTCAATGGCTTCCATGACGCTCCCTTCCTCGTCTGCCACATCCCTCACCCAATCTGACTTGCCCGTTGCGACAAGCATGTGCGTTGCCCACCCATTGACCTTTCCATATAGTTCGTCTTGGTGATCGACATCGAATTTTGCGGGGTATTTGATTGTGCATGACGAGCAGTCGTGCAGGCAGTCTTCGCCGTCTACTGCTGGATCGACATTTTTGAAGAGCTTATCACTCGACGAGATGGTTTGAAACCCCTCTGCGGCGAGGGAATTGTCGCCCACAGCGTCGGTAGTGATATCGGTCTTGGAGGAGGCGGCAGAGACATTGGAGGAGCTAAAAAGGGAGGAAGTCCCTCTGCGAAAGAGATGCATTGTTACAGGATATGGACAGGTTCTTCAATAGTCCAATAGGGAAAAAAAAGTCTGCCACTTTGGCCTCGTCTTCTTATGACGCGCGGTCAAATGATAAATTGATCTTATCAATCATTTTGCAGGTTCGCCAAGACTCGGAATGTTTTCCGCCTGACTAAGTATACCCCCACTTCCAAGGTTGGCGCAATAGAGTCACCAAATGGCGTTGCACTAAAAGTAATATACAGGGTATGAATGGAATATTATCACTGCCTACGTCCAGCATAGTCAATTATATAAGGCAAGTCTGTCCGATCTCGTGGCTGTGCCAGGCGAATGACACTCCCTCCCGAAGTGGTAGATTGGCCCGATGCCACGCGTCGTAGAGACCTCGTAGAAGGCGTGCGAAACGAGCTTTGTGTCGCGAAGGATCCACTGTCTGTGGACAGTTCCGAGGCGGGGCTCTGCATCGCGGGCGCAGTGTCATACCCGGACTGGGTTTCCCAGGTCGACGCATTCGACGGGCGAAGGCTGTTACTCCGCATGGACCCCGGAGCTCCGTCATAACCATACGTCCCCACAGTATCTGTTTCTCCTTCTTCATCTGAGGGCCCAATGACAGATTCACTATAAGCTCGTCGATAGCTTGCACTGTCGCGAATCTCATCCAGGATCGGTGGTGCAAGGGACGTCATCCCTCTCAGAACCTCCGCGAAGAGATGCATCAGGTCGCGGAATTCTGCCTCGTGTAGTTCGCGCGGCGAGAATCGCGCGTGTTCGTACAGCGCAAGGAAATCTGCACCGAGTTCTGGCGGATAGATAGCCCCGAGGGACGTCAGATGGCGGATATATTCTCTCAGACCCATGGAGGCAGGGCGCTGTAATACTTCCACCACGCGTGTATCCGGGAGAGACTGTGTCGTAAGGTCACCTGACGGATCGAAGTGGTATGTAGCCGCAGGCGTTAATGAATCGGCAGGGGCAAGGGAGACAGCTTTGGCTTCAATCAAGCTGGGGAGCTCCTGTATGACCGTGCGATATGGTAGATTCGGTAAGTCTGGCGAATTAGGCGAAGACCAGCCGGGGTGCTCGACATGGCCCCATGGGGGTCGTTTGGGGTCAATGAGAAGCGGACTGTATTTTTGAAAGCTGTCCTCATCAGTGGAGATATCGCGCGGGCGGGCTTGGTACGCGATGACGGCACTGCGGACAAGGCCTTCCTTCACTAATCGCCTAACACTCTTGTTCACATCTTCCTTCTCCACGGGGATCCAAGCCTTGGGTATGCCTGTGAGTGCACTCCGATTTGTGTAGATGCGTGTCGCATAGATGAGGGCTGCAATGATAAAAGTTATCACATATGCGCCTATGATGAAGAAGACGTTGGTGAGCCGATGCGTCTCGTAGCATTGGTAGACGGCATCCGCTGGTGTGAGGACGATGAGGCAGAAGAGGATGATGGTGAAAAAGAAAAATCCGGTTGTGTTGAGAAACCGCTCAAGTCTGACTGCCATGGCTTCCCGTATGCCGACTGCACGGCATTTGGGTGAAATTTAGCAGATCTCAGCCATGAAGCGTGAGGAGTGAGTATGACGGGGAACAACCTTTGGAACATCTACGATTCCGATAAGGATAAGATTTAAAGTTGAACACGTGATCTGCGCGGAGGTACTTTCTAGTTCGGTGGATTTTCGACAACAGACAATTGCCAGTGCTCACTTCGAGGGGATCTCCTTTGTTTCATTTCAGCCTTAGCAGACTGTCGTTCGCGTTACTTCTTGCGACAACAAGCAACAACCTCTCCGGCCTCTACCAGCCTCAATTGTTACACCCTTATCACATAACCCCTATCTCCGATATCCAAAAAAAAGTTGCCGAGTCAACAAACTCACCGGAGGAACACGCCATGGATCAGGTCAAGCCCGCTAGTGAGCAGCAGGATATGTTGCACATCCTGGTTACAGGAGCCAACAGGTACGAGGTTTTCAATCAATTCATTAAACTCAATTTCCTATACTAATTTGGACCATTCGCAGCGGTCTTGGGTTCTCTATTTGCTGCCGCCTTGCCGACGAATTCCTCTCCTCCCATCCAGAGTCCGAATCACTTACTATAATATTCACAACTCGAAGCGCGCGCAAAGCCCAAGACACAATCCGCAGACTAGAAGCACACCTCCAATCAACCGCCCCCTCCGCATCCGCCGCCGCGCGCGTCCACTTCGTCTCCGAGAGCGTCGACCTCGGCGACCTCCGCTCAGTGCGCGAACTCTCCCGCAAACTAGTCCACACTCTCCCCCGACTCGACTCAATTGTCCTCAATGCTGGTCTAGGCGGCTGGTCCGGCATCAGCTGGCCCAGGGCCATTTGGGACGTATGCACTGATCTCCTGCACGCAGTGACTTGGCCCTCCTACAAGCTCGCACCAACGGGCGTATTAACAGGAAAGCAAACAAAGACCGAAGAAGAGCCTGCACTCGGAGCAGTCTTTTGCGCAAATGTTTTCGGACACTATATGCTGGCGCACAACGTGGCTCCGCTGCTGAAGCGGGCGCGCACGAACGGGCCCGGTCGTGTGGTCTGGGTTTCCAGTCTCGAGGCGACTTGGAACTTCTTCAAGGTCGATGATATCCAGGGTTTGCGCACCAATGCACCATATGAGTCTTCTAAGGCTCTCACTGATCTCCTCGCCCTGACTTCTAATCTGCCGAGTACGGCCCCCTGGGCAGTCGATAGCTTCTTGCAGTCCGAGACGGAGCTTGATACCCATGCTATTCACACAGATGTCCCCGATGCGACACCGCGCACCTATCTCTCTCATCCTGGTATATGCGCCACATCGATCATCCCGCTTATTCTTCCCCTTGCGTGGGCGATGGTTGCTACTTTCTGGGTTGCAAGAATGCTGGGTTCGCCCTGGCATCCATTGTCTACTTATCTCGGTGCTTGTGCTCCGGTGTTCCTCGCGCTGGCACCGCAGGCTGATGTGGAAGCTGCTGAAGAGCCTTACCATCGGGCCGGTGGTGGTAGAGCAAAATGGGGTTCGTCGTGCGGACGTCGTGGAATTGAAAGTGCAGTTTCTACCGAGGTCGACGGCTGGGGACATGGAGGTGTTATCGGCACGCCTGTTGTTGAGGCTGATCGGCTTCGACGTCGTAAGCGCGGCGCGGAAGATCTTACCAAGGAAAAGAAGGAAGAGTTCGAGGAACTTGGACGCCAGTGCTGGAAGCAGATGGAAGAATTGAGAATTCAATGGGATGAGATCTTGGATCAAGCTGAGGCTCGTTCCTAGAGAATGGCCTCGAGGCAAAGATTGGCTTTATCGAAGACTTAAATGTACTTATGTCTCTCCCTCGGTTTCCTGCTGCTTGATTGATTCGAAGCAGAACAGCTTCAATGACTGTATGTAAATGTATTCCTAAAACTGTATGTAATAATATTCAAGTGATACTTCTACAAAGATACCTGATATAAAGCATCTCAATAATCGTTTGAGGATCAGCTAAACTTGAATCTTTTTTTTTTTTTTGCGAATTTCGCCTCCCATTATTTACATCAACAAAACCAGCCCCACGCCCATGTTCTCATTAAAACGGATATGGCATGATTTCCTTGCCCACCAATTGCCAGAAGACGATTAAAAAAAATGAAAAAATGGAATGAAAGCAGGTGGCCAAACGCAAGGGAGCGGGGATGTAGTGACGAAGCCCTCAATATGTAGCACTAAAACGGGGATAACTTGGAAGGATAAACGGAGAGAGAAAACAAGACTAAAAGGGGTTATTTCTTGCAAAACAGCCGAAATCGCACGCTTTCACCATCTAGGTTTCTGAGTGAATTGATTATCGGACGAAAGGAAGTTTGAAGGCGATAAACCGTCACGGAAGAGAGAAGACAACGCAGTAAACGACTCCGGTTCTATGCATCAAGGAGGGCGGACTGGAGGGTGGTATCGGCACAAGAGTTGAAGGGAGGTATTTCAAAAGGCATAGCGACGTGAAGGAAGAGGGAAGTAGGAAAGGGGGATTACATGATGATCGCGGGAACTGTATAAAATGATTAGTATAGGTTTGGTGGTGATTGACAGAAAGCAAGACTCACCATCAATGTTCTGCTTGATGCTCTTGTGGGGCAGAATTGAGCCACCGTTGACATACACCTCGTCGGCGATGGTAACATCGTCTCCAAGAACAGTGACGTTCTCCAGACGTGCCCAGCGGCCAACGGAGCTGTTCCAGCCAACAATGGTGGACTTGATCCAAGCGTGGTCCTTGACCTTACAGTTCTCCATCACGACACAGCGCTGGAGACGGACACCATCGCCAATGACGACGTTGGGACCAATAACGACATTGGGACCAATACGGCAGTTCTTGCCGATCTTGGCGGTGGGATCAACCATGACATTTCCGCCGTACACGTAGGGCTCTGTGTGGGGGGCAAGCATCTGGGGCTTGCGCTTGGCCAGGGAAGTCAGGTACAAGCAAGTACCGGTAAGGAAATCCTTGGGCTGACCGACATCCATCCAGAAGCCCTCGAGATCGAAGGAGTGGAGCTGGCCCTCCTTACAGATGGCGGGGAAGGTCTCCTGTTCGATGGAGGTAGGGCGAAGCTCAATGCGCTTAAGAACACTGGGGTTCAGAATGTAGATACCGGCGTTGATGCGGTTGCCAACGAATTCGACGGGTTTCTCGACGAAGCGATCGATGCGGGAGGCATGGTTGGGCTTGTGGACGACAACACCGTACTTGGAGGGCTCATCGACCTTGGTGACGACGATGGTACCCTCTTCACCGTGGTTTTTGTGGAAGTCGGCGAGCTGCTTGAAGGGGTAGTCGCAAATAACATCCGAGTTGAGGACGAAGAAAGGCGAGTCATCCTTGCCCAGGATCCCCTCCGCCAGCTTGAGCGGGCCAGCCGTGCCCAGCGGTTCGGACTCGACGGAGAACTCAATGTTGACTCCGTATTGCTCTTCGTACTTCTTGAGGGCCGCGACCATCACATCCGGGCGGTAGTTGACGGCAAGAACGATATCAGTAACACCCGCAGCAGCCAAGCTCTCGACCTGGTGCAAGATCATGGGGCGGTTTCCGAACTCCACCAACGGCTTGGGAAGAGTGAGGGTCTAGAACAATTTAGTATCAGCATTGTCCAGTTGTGAATGAGACATCCAAAAAAATAAATATAAATATAAAGGGATATTTACCAGAGGACGCAGACGGGTTCCGAACCCTCCAACAAGAATGAGAGCTGTAGAGGGGTTAGCGGGGAGAAGTGGAAGCATTGAATATACCACATACCCTTCATGATGAATTGAAATTGAAAGTAATAGAGAAAGAATTAGAAAAAAAATTAGGAATCAGAGAGAAGGCTAAACAAAAGGAGAGAGAGACTCTCTGTTATTTAGGGAACACCTGGCCGTTGATGGATTTATTTTCGTCCAAGTGGGGGGCACGTGAGTGGCGGTGATTGGCGCGGCCTCTGTTTGCGGGAAAAAGGGGGCCATATACTTCGACTTTCACCTGCTTTTGGTGCTGGTTTAGGGGGGGAGAAAGGATTTTTTTGATTTGATATTAAATGCATTAAGTTATACTCCGTGCGGAGTATTCAAATGCAGATTGACGTTCCTTCAAAATACATTCCAAAGATTTGACAGCTCTGACGCGTGCATCAAAGTCTCTTGGTCTCCTGAGGTCTCACTAGTTCAGCCATCCCCGGCCAATATGTCCAATGTTATTGCATGGTTTTTTTTACCGGGGCAATGCAGATGGTACCCGCGAAACTAAACCCTCAAATTTCCTGTGGTCATGAGGTGTCGCCCCTGAAACTTAAGTGATGGGGGGTTATTTCCAACGAATGTGTTGTAGTGGGGGGTTATTCCAGGGCTGTTCCCCCTCCCGTCCCAGATCCAATGGGCACTTAGATAGTTACGTACTCAAAGATTCATACATATATTTGATTGAGATAATATTTTATAATTACATATGTCGAGAAAGTATAAAGCATCGAAGTATGAAAAGATGAAAGTATGAGGTTCAATTAACTCACCTATTGCGTATCCGGAGGTAGTCCACGTGGATGTGACATTCCAACCGGATCCGTCACAAATCGGAGTATCCAATTTCGTACTCGGCGAGCCTTGAGAACCCGCTGATCATCCTGGGAGCTACCTTCTTGCATTCTACTCTGGTAAAATCCAACTGCATCCGTCACATCTACCGGTTGTCGATGCAACAGCTCGACTGTAGTCATCCCTCGGCGCAGACTTTGTCCATACACCCGATCTTGGAATGTACTGAGCCCGACGGTTCGGAGCAAAACAATGTCGCGGGGTCGAAGTGACGCCAGTGATCGACCCAGGCGATCCGCTTCATTGTTCTTGGCAGCGGTCGGCTTGTCTGGTTTGAGCCAAAAATTGACTGCAAACCCAGCCCTTGTCTCGTCTCCAACAACGAGCTCGACAAGGTCCAATTCGGTTTTCAATTGTCGCGTTACTATCCGACGTGGGGGTGAACTGCCAGCACCACAATCATATTCACTGTCATCGTTTGCGGTGCAATGGACTGGATGTACCTGGCCGTGGGAAGATCTTGCAAATCGGTGAGGGGTCCAGGGATATGGAGGATGCGAGGTGACCTTGGGATGTCTGACTTGTCCAGCCCCGTAAAGCTAGCCAGCATGCTGTCCTCGCCCAAACTGCTCTCCTGCGTGGAATCTGCTACGTACACATCTGGGCCAGCTACCTCGGAGGTTTCGTGGATGGCAAAGGAATGGTCGTAGAATCTAAGAATCGAATCTGCTGAATGCCCTTCTGCTGGTGCATCTGTTGCAACAGCCAGTTGATGCGAGATAAAAAAGACTGGATCCCCATAGTGTTGAGAAGAGTCATAATTGTCTCCTAGCTTATCGACTGATGGTGACCGTAACACTCTCCATCTTACAGGTGGTTGATCCAGGGATAGCTGTTGTTCTGGGCTCTCCGTATTCTCGTCAAAAGGAGGTATAGGTTTGTTGAGAAGCTTGTCGGTGTTCCAATCCAGGCTTGCTACCAACGGAGACCCTACCAAGAAGATAAATTTTCGAGACATATCAGTCTGCATTGAACGGCAAAATATGCAGGTCAAGGGGAGCTCTTGCCCTTGAGAAAGACCGGAAGCCAGAAGATCCCTGAATCCATTGAGCAACGGGTGTCACAGTGTCCTTATTAGGAACGTCAAGAGGGCGAATGAAGTTCAAATGGTCGTGAAAGTCAAGACGTTGGGATTCGCAAAGACCGGGCCGCGAACCATGGGCAGCTTCTGTTAACAAGACCGCTAACAACAGGTGTGTGTACTTGGCCCTTCCTAGCTACTAGTACCCCAGTTACTACCCATTTGATCGCAAAATCACCCATACATAGTTAAATAATACGGTATTCTGCACTAAAATGTCGATTTCATTCCTCCATCAGAGTTGATAGGAGTCAACAACACTATAAAAAGTCTCCATCCATAGCGTGCACGTGCCATTTAACCTCATGTGACCATAATACGGTCGCCCATTTGAACACAAGTGGCCGTTGCCATTCGCCGCATCAAAGCGGAGCACACTATCGCCTCCCTCTCTATCTTCATCTTTGCGTCAGCGATGTCAGTGTCTTCAACTCGGGCTTAACATATTCAATTTAGCTCTTCGGCTGTAAATTCGACCAAGAGGAGTACACGCCAATCCTCCCACCCGGCCAAGTGCCGCTGTATATCGGACAGTCATGGCCTTCCAAGTCCCGATCCCCATGCCTGTGAGTACCACTTCGCGATTTGTCATCCAGATCTCACAACTGACGATGCCAATCTGCTACTAGAATGTCGCTGCCGTGACCTCGGATCTCTGGCCTTCAATGTATAACGTCCTGGCCGCTCCCTGGAAGCAGACCGGGCAAACTCCGACGACCAAGCTCAGCGAGTCCCTCCAGCGCAGTACTAGCCGACAAAGAAATGAGATAGTATGGTATAACCTACCATCAATTTAGCGCCACCCCATGCTTATATAAACAGATCCCTCAACGCGCGTCATTACCTGAGTACCTGGAAGGCATTTCCATTAAAGCCCTACACGCGGAGATCGTCTGCGGGCCTTCCCAACAAACCTGGTCGTCATTGCTGAACCGAAGTATGTTTCGGGTTGAGCGGATTGTCTTGATAAATTATGTCTAACCATCGATAACAGACAACGCATTTCGGGCCACCTCATCTTTCTCGCCGATCAACCCTGCTATCCCCGGTGCTCGTTCATACTCGACTCTCACCCCATTCCGTCTTAACTCCCTACGCACAGCCCCGAAGATCAATGGTATCTCCAAGATACAGCAACAGCGGTTCTTGTTCGGGGGATCCTGGCATCATGTACTAGCTCAGAAGGAGAAGATCGCCAACAAGAGCCCCCACAACGCAGATGCCCAAAATGCTCTCTACTCGGCTCTTTTGCGTGCCAAAATGCCGGGCATAGTTATCGAACGCCACCGGAGCGGTTATTTTGCAAGCGATCTCACAACTGAAGCATTGGTCCAACAGGCCCAGTCAAGTGTTGGTGGCGCCGACGCTGGAGCTGGAGCTGGAGCTTTCGCCGGGTCAAACCACAATCTGAGCCCTGAACAGCTCCAGGCAGTCGGTCAAGCGGTCGCTGCTCGGGCTACTGGCAGTCAAATCGGAATGGGAAAACAAAACGGTACCGGTGCCAAGGATGCTCCTCTCTACGTTGTGGTCGACGAGTCTCTCGGAAGCACAGTGTTCCGTTGGGTCAAATTCTTGCTCATTTTCGGCTTTTTCACTTACATCTCTCTGGTCACGGTCACTATTCTGGTTGAAACCACTGGCGTTTTGAAGAACGTTCGGGGCGCGCAGGACAAGGAGGCTCAGCCCGAGCAGCAAACGGCTCGCTTCAGCGATGTCCACGGCTGTGACGAGGCCAAAGATGAACTGCAGGAGCTGGTGGAATTCCTTCTCAACCCAGATCGTTTCTCTTCCCTGGGTGGTAAGCTGCCAAAGGGTGTTCTCTTGGTCGGTCCTCCCGGTACTGGTAAAACCTTGCTTGCGCGTGCTGTTGCTGGCGAAGCGGGTGTCCCATTCTTCTATATGTCTGGATCTGAATTCGACGAGGTATACGTTGGTGTTGGTGCCAAGCGTGTTCGTGATTTGTTCGCTCAGGCCCGTGGCAAGGCTCCGGCTATCATCTTTATCGATGAGCTGGATGCGATAGGTGGAAAGCGAAACGAGCGCGATGCTGCTTATGTCAAGCAGACTCTCAACCAGTTGCTCACGGAACTCGACGGATTCTCCCAGACTAGCGGTGTCATCATCATTGCTGCTACCAATTACCCTCAACTGCTGGACAAGGCACTCACTCGACCTGGTCGCTTCGATCGTAGGGTCGTTGTAGACCTGCCTGATGTGCGCGGTCGAATGGACATCTTGAGGCATCACATGAAGGAAATCCAGTTCGGTCCTGATGTTGACGTCGGAGTCATTGCACGTGGCACCCCCGGCTTCTCCGGTGCTGACCTGGAGAACTTGGTCAATCAAGCTGCAGTCCATGCCAGCCGTGATCGTAAGGCTAATGTTGGGTCGTTTGACTTCGACTGGGCCAAGGATAAGATTATGATGGGCGCTGAGGCTCGCAGTCGCATCATTCAAGACAAGGACAAGCTCTTGACTGCATACCATGAGGCTGGTCATGCCCTTGTTGCACACTTCTCTCCTTCCTCCACTCCACTGTACAAGATCACCATTGTTCCCCGTGGCATGGCCCTTGGTATCACCCACTTCCTGCCGGAGATGGATACTGTTTCAAGAAACTACACCGAATATTTGGCAGACATCGCCGTCTCCATGGGTGGCAAGGCTGCCGAAGAGCTGGTTTTCGGCCACGACAATGTCACTAGTGGTATCTCAGCTGTAAGTTTTACTGGTTATTTTTTGGGGGTTCTTTTCTCGATACTAACAGCTTCTTTAGGATATCCAAAGTGCCACTGAGACAGCCTTCACGCTGATCACCCGGTTCGGATATTCCAAGAAACTCGGCAACGTCGACTTGTCTACCAACTACGACAGCCTATCATCGGAAACCAAGCAGGAGATCGAGCGTGAGGTGCGCCGGCTTGTGGAAGAGGCCCGCGATCGGGCAACCAACATCTTGACCGAAAAGCGCAAGGAACTAGAGCTTCTGACAAATGCGCTCATCGAATACGAGACGCTCACGAAGGAGGAGATGGAGCAGGTGCTGAAGGGCGAGAAGATTAACAAACTGAAGTCCTCCCCTACTGCGCCGCTGAAGCTTCCCGGCGCTTTGCAATCGACCAATCTCAACCCGTCTGCCGCGGCAGGAAGAGCACCCACGGTCAACGAATAAGCTCACCTCTACAAATTCTGTAATCTCCCCTTTTCATTTTCATGCCTTGTTTTTTTTTCTTGCTGGCTCTACAGACACGCCCACCTACCTTGTTTTATTTTCGTCTCCATTGTGCATCCCGCCATCATTCGGGCGTCTATTGAAAATACCACATTTCCTTGGTTCCCTCTCTTCAACATCATGTCTCAGTCAGCTCGACTCTAGTTGACTCTGGTTATCAATTCGCCACCTTTCTGCGTGTGCAATACCATTGAAGCTTGAATTGATCTCTGTACATATTCCCTGTACGTTGTACGTGGTATGTCACAATCTATCTGTTGATTTAATCGTTGCCAATGTAGGAGGCAACGATGGTCCATTATGAAGAACAGTGCTCCACGGCCATATATACCTGTACACCGGATTTCAGGTCGGGCGAGTTGCTTTTCCTTCTCCGCCTTTTGCCTATTGCTCGTAAAACTGTTACATAAGCTGGATGACTCGCTTCTCACCTGCCATTCACGCCAAGTACAATCCCACGATCTTATCAAAGCTTGACAAAAATCCACAATGCTTATCTCCGCGGAAAAATATCCAAAAAGATCTAGATCCGGACCTTGACCGAATATCTATTTTATCTTCTATGATCGGCAACATCAATTATAAAGATTGAACATGTTTCCTTTTGCATTCAAGTAGTGTGAAAACATTGATTATTAACTATACATCATAAATTGAAAGATGGCGGCCACTGAAAGTGGGATGCCCTCCAACCCCTCACAAGACGAGACGAAAAATGCCAACACTGTTGTCAGTGGGGATGTTGAGGAAGTGGCACATTCATATCGTCCAAGCAGATGGCAGAGTAATATCACCATAATCAGTTGTGTGAGTCTGATAATTAAGAGAATTGAGCTTCACCTACTAACTCTCCCCAGTACATCGCCAACTTTAGCGATGGCTTTCAAAACACCCTTGCCAATCCTACAAATGTTATTTTCAAGCAGGTGCTTGGAGCCGACGGATTTTCTTCCGAGATGAAAACTCGCATAAGCAACTCAGTTATCGTCGGGGCGATCCTTGGTGTGGTTGTCTTCGGATACACTTCTGATATGTTTTCACGACGCGCCGGATTGCTCTTCACGTCCTCCCTGGTCGCAATCGGTACCTTGATGGCAGCGCTGGCTCTACAGGTGCACCCCTCAAGCAATATGTTGTGGTATTTTGTTGTAGTCCGTGGAATTGCCGGGTTTGGTGTTGGAGGTGAATACCCTCCTAGTGCCGCTGCTGGCATTGAAGAATCGGACTGGGTAAGCGTTTAGTCGTTCCCTCACTTTTGATCTATTCTCATCGATTCCTTGTAGATCATGCGCAAATACAGAGGGCCGATGTTTGTATCCTTTACGACTTTGATGGCTACAACCGCGGGCCCAATTTTGATGATTATCTATTTGATCACACTCATTGCCACGGACAACAACCTTGTCATCGCCTTCCACGCCATTTACTCCATTGCCACTATCCTCCCAGTCTCAATCATAGTTTTGAGACTTTTCATGGTGGACTCTTCTCTGTTCCACTACTCCAATTTTAAGCGGCAGCCGAAGTCCTGGCGTCTTTGCCTCCTTCTTGCACGGCGTTATTGGTGGAGGTTATTGACTACCTCGCTGGCATTCTTTTTGTATGATTTCATCAATTTCCCTAACAGTATCATGTCCAGCACGATCATCTCCTCCCTGGTTACGGATCACAATGTTCGGACGACTGCTATTTGGCAGGTCATTTTAGCGGTCTTGCCAGTTCCCGGCGTTGTGTTGGGAGCTTGGCTTACCAATGCGATTGGACGTCGCTGGACGGGAATTTTAGGCTTCGCTGGATATGTTGTGCTTGGTTTCGTTATCGGTGGCACATACTCGAAGCTTTCTCAAAACATTGCCGCCTTCGTTGTCTTGTATGGCCTGTTGCAAGCATTCGGCCATATGGGACCCGGTGCTACTATTGGGCTTATATCTTCAGAGTCTTTCCCCACGGCTATGCGGTCTATGGGATATGGTGTCGCAACAGCCTTCGGTAGAACGGGTGCTGCCGTTGGCACTCAGTGCTTTACCCCCCTGCAGGACCGTGCTGGCAATAGCTCCACCTTTTACTTGGCTGGTGGTGTCGCTATCCTCGGTATGATGGTCTACTACTTGTTGCCTGAAAGTGGAGATTTGGATTTGGAAAAAGAGGATAAGGAGCTCAACGAGTTTCTTATGCAGCACGGATTTACGACTGATGTGAATGAGACATTGTGAAGTTTTACTGTCCATAGAAGATTTATATTTATAGAGCGACAGCACCTATAAATGTACGTTACGAAGTGAGCATCAGGTTTCAGGCCGTGCTTTCCCTTTTCGTTCTACCTAGGTAGCGCTTACCCCTTGCTTTTTAGTCCTAACTTCCTATAAGCGGTCAAAAGACTTAAAGAATGCAGACGGATGAAGCTGTGCTTTATAGAGATTCAGCAGATCTTTGCTTCATGAATAGGCATGAATCCTCGCTGTAACAGGGCCACCGCCAGATCGAAAAGCAGGTCATTTATTAAACGCCGTCAGCAATGGCTGTGGGGGCCAAGTCAGCTAGTCTGCCAGGTATGGTATGTACATACCTAGATATGTACATGTAGTCAATCCACTCTCACTATCCTCATGACTTAATTTGTCGGACGCTGTTCACCTCTATGGTCAATGTATGCTCTATACGGTGTCTCAGCTAGACCTCTACGTGAGCTAGTGTTTGTTTTGGCATATGCAGCAGCAGGTAACCAGCTAACTTTCGAGGATCAGACTTGCAGAATGGAATACTTTGGAGTGCTCCCGACCCATCACGCGCCTGATCTCCCTCTTTACCCCCCCTTCCCCCAAAAGAAAGTACCGCGAGCTAGAGCAGCACAAGGCAACTGGGCAAGGCTATGGGAAGGCTTGGCATCTACCTGGGCCACTATTGTTTAATACACCCAATGTGACTATCCTTCTTCTTCTAGTACCCTGTTTGATATTTCATGCCACGACCGACCTCCCATGACACAACCTGCTATGGTATGCCCCGGATACAGTGGCGCGGCTGCAGTCACGTATGCTCCATTAGCGGCGCCTGAGAATGCTCCTAGCCAGGCTCAAGATGAAGTCGAAGTCGCGAAAAAGGGAAGTTCTCTGTGGGCCCGGCTGGGGATTACTCAAATCCTTATTTTATGTCTCGGCTCGATCATACTCGTCATAGCAGTCCTACCTTTGGCCTGGCTTTGGGTGGAGTCCATGGCAGCAGCTGTAGGACGAGAACCAAGCAGCGCTTGGGTCTCAGTTATTGAAAAAAACTGGACCACGCGGATTGTCACCATCTGCACAGCCATTGTACGAGCGGTGGTCACGGCCCAGGCTAGCGTGGCGACCGCGATGTTTGCGGGCATTATTCTGGAGCGCGTCGGCTCTCCACTGGTGGACGGGCCATTCTATTCCACTGTGCGGGCTCTAAGTGGGAGCCCGATTAACTTGCTATGGACCCCGAATCTGCCGTTACACAGAACCGGCCTCTCGGTCTTGGTCGTGATCCTTATTGTCCTTGAAGTCCTGGTGACCATAGCTGTGCAGTTCCTTTCCACTCTGCTCGTGGCCGACTTTGGGAATGGCGCATTCACACATACCAGCAACGTAACGAATATCCGACTGTTAAATTATACCAGAGATCCTTTCCTTGGTCCGTGGTGGTCGATGCCTCCGTCGGCCGGTTGGGCGTTCGCCGAGCAATTAGAACCGCCTATAGCTGGGCCCAAGTACGACGATACAGGTCACACATACCGCGCCTTCCTACCCTATCTAGAGGCGGCACAACGGAAATCATTACGCCATTTCCGGGGCCCAGTCCCAATAAGCGATCAACGGGTTGTCTGTGTGCAACCTACAATACGTGACCTTCGCCTCGACACGGCCAGCCTAACTTTCCCACGTCTCTCCGGACAGATTGCTATCGCTAACGGCACATACCCGATGCTGCGGAACACGGAGAGTCAGCCCTACCTCCCATTCACGTGTGCGTTGGCTACCTCGATGTCGATACCTAACCAGGAGCAAGGACTAACGAGCTTATGTTGGCCGGATTATGGCATGGAGTGGAAGGTCTTCGTCGAAGACCCTCTAGTGACACTCGGACCTATCGCCTACAATAACAGCATGATTATCGGCTATCTGCAGGCATGCACAATGTTTATGTTATTGGACGTCGTCTCCTCGGCGGGTGTCCCCAACAACGGGACAGAGGAGGTCCGCGTCCTCGGGAATAACGACACCAATAGTAGTCCCTGGGTAATGGTCGGAAACGGAACCGATCACCCTACGGTTCGGGTGACGACCTGTATAGGAAATCTCGGAGTGGATACGTTCACCGCAGAAATACACAGCAACTGGGAGGGATCGGAGCCCACTATGTCCTGGAACCAACCCATGCAGCGCTACGACACCGAAAGTATGCGTACCCAGCTGGGTGCAGTCCGGCCCCGACAGCCACTAAACCACCGGGGCGTGCTCGCTCTCGGCCCCCGCTCGGATTGGCAACCCTTGTTCCCCGATCCAGTGATCCCCGCTTCCATTTTGAATGTCTCCGATACAAACCCGGTCAGATCTCAATCTCTGGGCGCTTCCAATGCATGGAACGTCAAGGGAGCCCTTGCTCAGATCTTAATAAGAATGCAGAATGAGGGCACAATAATGGCTGACCCGGGTATTATACTGACCCGGGACGCGCCCCCCGGTATCTACATCGCGCATGAGGCGTATACCAGTCTTTTCCAGGACACGTTAGAGCAGACGAAAAGCCCTGCTGTGGCCCTGCAGGCGCTCCTCACGCTTTTCACCCAGATGGTCTATTACGATAGGCTGCTGCGAATCAATGGAACCGATCGCGCCGAGACTGCCTTCTCGCACACGGCGCTGATTCCAACTCGATGGACAGGGTTTGGGGTAGGGATGGGGTTGTTATTAAGTCACTGGGTGGTGATGGCCATTGTTGTGGGGCTGTTTGCGCGATACACGTGCCATTCTTTGTTAGGGAATCACTGGCAAGCGGTTTCACAGGTGTACTCGAAGGACACTGTGGCGGTTCTGGAGATGGCGGATCAGATGAAGGATCAAGGGGTCGAGGGTTGGGTCAAGCGCAAAGAGCGTGGGGAAGAGCTCTATAGTGTTGCGCTTGATGAAGGGGAGGGAGGACGGGTGGCGCTGACAGTTAAACATTCAGATTAGCCCCCGGCGCCTTCCCAGTGCGGGTGCCCAGGTGGTTGCCTATTGGCGGGGACTTCCCCACGTTATATCTAAGCTTATTTATATGCTTGTAGTCTATGGGTTTATGACGTAATGTATCTACGAACGCTTTGCCATCATATCATTGAAAATAAATAATCTATCTCTTGGGACCTATATGAGTTTCATCGTTTACATTTCGTAATCCCCGATTCTATCAAATATGTCTCGGAATTTTGATCAACTTCCACTTTCTTCCTCGGAAATAATATACCCAGCCTCTCCGCTTTATCAAAAGGAGAGTTGCACTTGGGCAGCCCAGAAAGATCTGAAGCCCAAAATCATCGCTCGACCCTGCACGCCTTCGTCTCTGGGGGATTTGCTTTCTTTCTTGACTCTTTCTGGTCTGGATTGGGCGGTCCGAAGTACTGGGGTAGGGTCCTCATCTGCTAGCGATGTACTGATCTCATTGTCTGCTTTTGATAAATTCGAATACAACGCAGAAGACCAGACTGTGGTTATTGGCGCAGGACAAACCTGGGGAGAAGTTGATCGAAAAGTTGAAGAAAATGCCCCTGGTCATGCTGGTACGTCTGATTTTCTGATTTTCTTTTTTCGCTATACACAGTGTGCAAAAGGCTAAATGAAACATCGCAGTGGTTGGTGCTCGTTGCACATACGTCGGCGTCGGCGGCTCCATCCTCTCAGGCGGAATATCTTGGCTATCTTCTGAAAAGGGTCTTGCTGCTGACCCACACAATATGCTAGATGCAAAGGTGGTCTTGACGGACGGTAGGATTTTGTGGGCGTCCACTGAGCCGGAATTACTTTGGGCATTGAGAGGCGGCGGTGGCAGTTTTGGAGGTTAGGCTAAGCTTTCACAGGCATTAGCATAGACGGGACTTATCTGCTGATCTTCCATATATACAGTATTGGTAGAGGTCAAACTGCGGGTTCACTCCTACCCGGACAAGATCTATTCTGGCCAGATATCCTATCCGAGGTCGGCATTCTCTGTCGTCGCCAAGGCCATTGAAAGATTTACTGCAGAATGCAACGATCCCAAGATGGCAATGCACATATTCCCCCTTGACCTTGGACAAGGTCATTATGTGGGGGATGCTCCAAACCCGGGTATTGGTCTTCATGTCTTTGATGCACGTGGAGAAATACATGGGAGAAGTACGGAGGGATTCCGGTGGGCTTTGGATATTGAAGGCGCTATTGATAAAACAGGCTCTATGACAATTCGACAGTGCAATCAAATTTGGGGTAAGCACATGGAAATACCGATGGTGTGATATGAATGAGCTGAAATCAAAAACCAAGATGGCCTCGAAGCCGCTAAAGGGAAAACCGCAAACTTCCAGTCTTGTCTTATCATTTCTCACGTCGATGAAGAACTTATTTCGAAGGCATGGCACTGGATTGAGAACTTGACCCTGAAGGATCAATCTCTTTCTCTTGGAGGGACTTATCTCTTGATTGAATTTATGCAAAAGGTATGTAATGTGCAAAGCTAGATTTCCCTTTCTAACAAGGAAACTGCTTTGCTAATACGGCTCTATTTCATTGTTCTAGCCAGCTTTTCATTCAGTAGATCTGACGCTACGAGCCTGGCCAGGTACGCGCGGTCAGTCTATTCTGCAAATTGGGACTGGTGCCCCATGTCATCTTGGAGAAAGCAGAGAGTTGGCCTATATGGAAATTAGAGAGGCGCCGTCTTTTATATGTGGACAAAGCGAACGACGTGGGCTGCAATATTTCACTCATTCGCTTGAGGAGTTTAATGATCCGAGAAAGGTGAGCAAAATTGGTTTTCCTCGATTTATTGGAAAACTGACAAGGGGATCAAGATATATGCCGAGAATTTTGAGAAGTTACAGGAGCTGAAGCGGCAATATGATCCCAATGGTGGTCTGAAAGGACCGTTTTGGATTTGACAGAGGTGATTTATGGGATGGATGGATGTACTGCATTAGCTAGTCTGTGCAAGATAGTGTCAAGTAATTGCAAAAATAACAGGTTAGGAAGTACAAAAAGATATATGCGCTGTATGAACTTACACCCGCTCGCTCTTCGGCATCGATTTATATATTCCTCTCAAACCACAAGCCTGACAATGCAGCCCACTTACCTGGATCCCCTTTTTCATTGCCAGTCGATTAATCACGTCAAAATCCGTTGGACCGCTAAATTCTGCCTGGCAATTGTGACCTGAGGTTGGTTCTGGCTCATATTGAAATCTCTCTAGGATCTATATTACTTGTGTCTGCATGTTCTAATAAGGCTTTCTTTTCTGTGTATACTTTTTTAAATTTTCAATTTCAATACTCCTCAAGCGATGTGATATCTGGCTCAATCTCATGTGACTATATATGAATATGAAGCTGTCCGATTCACCGTCTCGTTATTATATGTAGTATACCTTTCTTTTTGTGGATTCGTGGGGAATTATGTAGCCTAGGAGGTGGTATACATGAAATATATTGATTAGTTTGTATGCTTTATAAACAATCTGCTCGGAATTTAAAATAAACAGTCATCAGATTGTTTATTTTGGTTATTTTGGTTATTTTGTGTACGATATAGAGATTATAGACCATATATGTTCCCCGAGGCACCAGATCCAAATATAGCAAACCCTAAAATCCCCAAGTCTGGCTCCGCGGGGATGATGACTTCATCACAGCATCACCCAGGAACTGCATAAATCGCCTCAACCTTGATTTGAACCTTGAACCTTGGAAGCTTCTCCACTGTCATGATGTCATGGTTTTTGGAGAGATGATCAAGAACGAGAATGCTGTGATCTGAGTTTGATATTGTTTATTTGGATTCTGTGTGAACACAGGCAGTAGGACTAGGTTTTACAATTGAGTTGTAAAGACATTTAGAATTTTTTTTCTTCATTTCAAAACGGTTTGTATATACACAAGTGCTAAGTCAAGCTCATCCCAGAAGAGGAAACTGGCCAACAGCAAAAAAAAAAAAAAAAAAAGGTAAACCCCCAGCTCATCTTCTGGAACAAACGACTCCCGTCATAACGGTCATGATGAAGGGGGACACGGGCGTTGGCAGACGCCTATTAGGACGGACTTTCTAGTCGGTGGGAATTCTCTAAATATGTATAAATGGAAACGCGTGTCCAAATGCCCCCCCGAGAAAAAAAAAAAGATCCGGGTATCCAAGAGAGGATATGTGCGATAGCCGGTTGATGTGATCTTCATGTAAACCCCTCCTCTCTCTTGCATCTTGCGCGTGTGTGTATCGTGCATGGGATGAGATGCACAATTGGGCCGCGGGGGTCGATGAACCGGTTGGGGTCATCTCAAAGGAATATGTATAAAAGGTTGTTTATTCGTCGTCATTGTGTTCCTCTCTATCCTCGTCGGCCATCCAGCCGCGTGACATCTCCACGGCCTTGGACCACTTTTTATACATGCGGCCGCTGGCTTTGACGGACATCGTGGGGGTAAATGAGGCTCGGTTGGCGCGGTTCATATGCTTAAGTTCGGAGAAATCCTTCCAGATGTTGATGGCGAAGCCAGCGGCGATGGCGGCGCCGAGGGCAGTGGTTTCGTGCATTGAGGGACGTTCAACGGGGATTTGAATAATATCGGCTTGGGTCTAATAAGAAGGTAACAGTTAGCGAGATGATCTGGGGACATTAGGAAAGAAAAACATTGGAACGTACCTGCATGCAGACGTCGGAGTTACTCATGCCGCCGTCAACAGCCAGTTCTGTCAAGCCCTTGCCGCTGTCCATTGCCATGGCGTCGAGAATAGCTTTGGTTTGGAAACAGGCCGCTTCCATAGTTGCACGGGCGATGTGTCCCTTTTGTGTGTGGGCGGTGATTCCCCCTAGGAGATGTTAGCAATCAAGGTTCTGTAAGGCGAAGCACCGTGTTCGAGACTTACAGATAGTTCCCTGGGCATCATCGATCCAGTAAGGAGCAAAGAGACCACTGAACGCAGTGACGAAGATGCAGCCTCCGTTATCCGGCACGCTGGCGGCCAAATCGCTGACCTTACGGGAGTCGCGGAAGAAGCCGAGGTTATTCATTAGGAAAGAGACACCACTGCCCGCCACAGCCACACTGCCTTCCAGTGCGTAGACGGCCTTGCGGTCTCGCCCTAATTGGAAACCGACTGTGCCCAAGAGACCGTGCTTCGAGATAACCGGCTTCTCGCCCACGTTGTAAAGAAGGAAGCATCCGGTGCCGTAAGTGTTCTTCGCCATTCCCGGAGAAAATGCACAGTGGCCGACCAAAGCCGAAGCCTGGTCACCCAGGCAACTGGTAATGGGAACACCCTCCAGTGGCCCTTCGGCAACTTTACCGAAACCCTCGGGATCGGCTGAGGGAAGAATCTCGGGTAGACGGATCTTAGTTGGGTCGATGTCAAAGAACTTTAAGAGGCGATCGTCGTATTGGAGGGTTTCGAGGTTCATGAACATGGTTCGTGAGGCATTGGTCACATCCGTAACCAGACGCTTGTTCTGAGGACCACCATTAAGGTTGTAGATGAGCCAGCTGTCGACAGTTCCGAATGCGGCCCGGCCATCATCATAAGCCGACTTGACATCGGGCAGATGGTCGAGCATCCATCGTAGTGTGACAGATGAGGGGTATGTAGATAAGGGTAGGCCGCAAATATTACGGAGTTCGTCGGCGCCGGGCTTTTCCTTCAGTTCCCGTACCAGGTTGACGGTCCGAGTATCGGTCCACGTGATTGCGTTATGCAGGGGCTCGCCAGTCTCCCAGTCCCAGACCAAAGCAGTTTCTCTTTGGCTGGTGATACCAATGGCTTCGATGTCGGAGGTGGAGTAGCCGAGGGCAAGGAAGGATTTCATGGCCTCTTCAATACAAATATAGACCGATTCAACCAATTCGTAAGGGTCTTGTTCGTGCCATCTGTGGGGGTGCGGGGCAATTAATATTGAGTTCGGAATTGCAAAGGGAGGGGCTTTTTAACACCTACCCTGGGTGTTCATGAATCTGGTGGAATTCAGTTTGGTATTTGGCGATAGGAACGCCTGTGCAGTCGAAGATGATGAATCGTGTACTCGTTGTACCCTGATCAATGGTACCAATGAATCGACTCTTCATTTCGTCCTCATCCTCATCCTGCAGCAAAGAACGATCCCCATCGTCTCTTTGTTTTGGACGATAGTTGAGGTTGAGTTGTTCCCGTTGTTTGTCCTCCACATGCTGGTGCACATGTTGTTCGGGGAGCTCGAAATCCTGGGCGGGTTCGGAGTCTCCGTCAACACTCTCAAAGTCCAAATCGAATGGGTTGCGCATCTTCCAAAATGTGTAGAGAAAACAAAAAGATATTAAGAGAGAGAGACCGATTTTACTGTCCTCCAGGATTTAAAGAGGGGAATGACGGAGGGGGGAAGAGAACTACGAGGTGGCGGTGTTGGGATACGGGGACCAGCTCCCGTGGCAGAAAAGTGGAGCGTGACGTATCAGAGAAGTGGCCAGGTATAAAAGGTGAAATATGCCAGTCCTTTTCTTCACCGTTATAAAAAAAAGATGAAAAAAAAGGTGAAATGTAGAAATCGGTTGAAGGGGGGAGAGAGGTGTTTGAAATGTTGAGGTCGAGAGTATGTATAAGAATATAAGTATAAGGGCGCGTAGGAGAGGAGGAGGGAAAACGGGAGAAACAAGAACGAAGATCTCACAGAAGAACAGAACCAGGGCAGGGCTCTTTATCCAAAGGGGTGGACTCTCTAAGAAAAAGCCCAGGTGGGGTGGGGGGAAATGAGAAATCCGGTTCGGGGGATTTTTTTCTGATCAGAAGACCTCGTCACCTCCCCCACTATTTCCCTTTTTATGATATTTATGAGTTACCTAGGAACTACTGTATGTATACTCCGTACTTGGAATAGACATCGGAATCTTGGATCGAATTGTTGGTAGTATATCTTTCTTTATCCTTAATACTTAATATATCCTCTATTCTATTCACTATCTATCCTATATCCTATCTATCTTATTCCCATATACCATAGACCATATACATTACTTACCCTTCCTCCAACCCCGTCTCTCCAAGCCTGGGCACTCCACAAGCCCCGTCGATCGTACACATGACACGGTCCATTTTTCCCCTGCGGTCCCTTTAGTCGTTCTAGAACCCCCTTTTTTATTAGTCTACATTCTTTGCAGATTAGTTGAATCATTCCTATTCATGGAGAAAATCCGACTATCGGGAATAATCATTTTCTTTCTAGCGATATAGCCTATGGGGGAAAGAAGAAAAAAAAAAAAAATAAGGAATGGAGATTCCCCATTCCTGGAGAACGGGCTCTAGTCGAGGCCAAGAACATTCGAGCGCATCAACCCCCCCTCCGGGGAACTGCCTATAATCTTGACTCCCTACTTCCCGGGTCTCATTCTTATTGATCAAGATCCTTGTCTCCAGCATTAGCACATTGGCATTTATGCTTGATACAGCATAGTCAAAATCCCTAACTAATTATATAATATCAGATGACGTCTCCAGCACTAGGTTCTTTTCCATGGAGAACCGGTCTGGTTAACCGGTCTTGTTAACCGGCTTAATTGCCCTATTAGAAGTCATTATCGAAAGACGTGGAGAGAGGGGGAGGATCTTGTCAAACCTGCCAGGGACAATGGACGTGCGAGGCAAGTACTCCGTACAATACTATAGCTTAGAACAGGCCAAAAAAAAAAATGAGATTTTTTTTTTTAAGAAAAAAAATAAGCAAAAAAAAGAATAAGGCCCAAAAAGACCCAAAAAGGCCGATCTAGGTGGATTCCAGCATGTTTTCTGGCGCCATCGGACGTTACTATGTGTACCTCGCATGCAGGTCTCGCTTTACCTTCCCTGGGAACCGTTTTCAAAAAGATATCCCATGCAATCTTTGACAAAAGTACCCTCTTTTTTTCCCACATTATCACACTTATTCAGGTGCGTTTCAGCTAGTTCCTTCCATAGTGAGATCTCTAGTCAATATTTTCGGCACCCCGTGACAACTTCAAGAGGATCGACCCGCCTTAGTGCATTATAATTGTGCCGTTACCCCTTTGAATATACCCCTCGACTCCGATCTGCGGCAACCCGTGTGACCAAGATGCCGATTACCAATTCCCCCTTTACCTACATATATACGGAGTAGATCCATGGATGTATATGTTGTAACTATGTTGGATATTATAGGTACCTAATCTTGCAGCTTTAAATCAGATTTGATGCCAAGCACGTGTGTAGCTTTTTGGAATCCGTGTTTTCCGCAAAAATAAAATTTAATGCGGGAGCCCACTACGGAGTATACATCCATGGATACCTCCGACCCTTGTACACCCGTAGCGCTTATATCTACTCCCCCCCACTCAATGCTGAACCGTTACATTCTTTTTAATAACAAAAAGAAAAAAAAAAGCCTCGGTGGCTACTTGGACGAGAACACTCCGGTGTCTCCAACTATTGACACTTCAATTAAACAAAAGAAAAATTTCAGTGGCCGCCCTACTGCGTTCTGCGTATATTCTACAGGAAATCACGGGTAATGCAAACATCGAGATCAGTCTTGGGGGATGACGTCCGCCTTGTCAAAAGGCAAATTTACTCGGAATCCTCGATCTCGCTGCGACGGCGAGCCTCGGCCTCCTCCTTCTCCTTCTTCTGCAGGAAGATCAGAGCGTTGATCTTGTCCTTGATGCTGTGCTCAGAGGCAAGGGTCTGCTGGATCTGCTCACGGCCGATCAGGGTAGCCACGATGGAGGCACCGACAACGAAGGTCAGCACGAAACGGTACATGCCGTACCAGTGAGGAGCACGGCCAGCGGCGGCAGCACGGGCATCGTTGTAGTACAGGAAGGTGAAAGCGAGGAACTGGCTGATCAGAGCGTACTCAACGGGGAACAGCAGAGTAGGCCAGGCCACAGCGGGGGCGATCACACCGGCGGCGTAGCGGCGGTAACCGAACTTGCCGCCGTATCCAGCCCACTCAAGACCCCAGTGGACGGCACCAAGGAAAGAAAGGATCTAGCCATAAACGGTGATTAGCAAACTTGTAACCAATTACTCAAAGGAGACTAGACTCGGGATTACTCACAACGGCACCGTAGCCGATTTGGATGGGCTCGAGCATGTGGAGCATCAGCTCGGCGCTCTGGCCGGAGAAGATCAGACCGTCACCAAGAGCAGCGGCGCGGTTGATCTCGTAGGAGAGGAAGACAGTCTGCATGGAGGTGGCCAGGTAGGGGACGACACCAGCCATACCGAGGTAGAGGGCCTGCTTGGGGACACCAGCCAGGCTGAAGGTCTCCTTGATAACTTTCTATATGTTGACAATGCGCAATTAGCATATGCAGACCCAGATACACAGTCAGTCGAATGGAAATACGTACCGCCTCGGACTTCATACCCGCCATAACATCAATATCCTCCTCATCGTGCTATCGTATCGGCAATTAGCCATTGAGTGCCTTTTGCGCGAATCACAAGCCATGTGCCTTCTCTTACCTTAGCCGAAGAAGACGAGTAGCGCACAAGAGCGGTGGTAACAGGCTTGTGAGCGGCGAGCGCGAAGCTCGGCGAGACGGAGGGACGGAGCAGATTGCGGGCAGACGAGGTCATCTGGGCCTTGCAGATCTGGTTACCCAGAGCGGAGCGAGCCACGGAGGCATTGGAGCTCGAGAATGCGCGGAGCGCAGAGCGGGCGGCAGCGTTGCGGTACATGGTGGGGAGATAATACAGCTTTTCGTTGTCGTCGGGTTAGCAAGTCGGAGGAAAGAAAAGCCTCGGGTACGGCCGGACAGCAGTGTCAACTCACCCAATTGGCCTTTTAAAAAGCTAGACAGAAGTAGAGGAGTGGAGATTAAGGGTATACACCCGGAAAATGACTTGATCACGAAGTCGACGGCGTGGGCTTTCCGGGAGGGAACAAATAAGAATATCCAGAAATGAAGTGACCGAGTGATGAGGTGTGGTCTGCATTCGGGCGGACCGCAGCGACCCGAACTGCAAATTGTAGCTCGATGCAGTTATTTTGGCCTTAGGTTTCCAACATGTATGCCTCAGGCATCAAATCTCCAAACAATCAGCCTGGTTCCGGGGCTGCTGCCCTAACCAAAAGTTGGCTACGTCACTCCTGGGGTAAACAATTGTGTATCCACCAGTACGGTACAGTATCTTGCAGGGGTTCTCAAGTGTATCGCCTCGTGGTTAACTCTGGCCTTGATAACGAAAGTAATCAAATTAATACCACTGGCCCCCAACTATCCACGTAGTGCCAAGTGTATCGTAGCTCAAGTACGCTGTACCTTTGAAATACTTGGGTTGGTAGGCGGAAATGGTACCCGCCCTGGCGTAAGAAGCTGTACCCCGTTTGTACTGAGTACATCCCATCATACAACTTGCGTAACGGATATCACCTCTCTTGATCCACGCAATCAGGGCCATTAACTTGGGCTTGAATACCCAACTTCATTCTCTCTCAATTTAGCGCTTTTAATTTCCTCACAATCCTTTCTTAACCTGATACCTAGTCATCCTAACCGATTTCCGCTCTTCCTGGAGGGGAAAAGTTCCACCTCGGTATCGCGCGTGCTCCCAGCCCGCTCAGTTGAATGGCTTGGATGTCCCCTATTACCCAGGGTTCTTGAAAGCAGCCCTTATACTGTGTAAGAGCCCGTTCAATGAAGAAGCTCTGTTTCTTATGTTTCATTTGGGTCGCCACTGACTTTTCAACTGCGTTCAATTACAGACTATCATCGAATCTCCGATCCACTGAAATCCGCCCTGGCCGTAGAGCCCAACCACCCGGCCCGGTCTACGGCTGCACGCCGCAGCAATGTTGGAGGGTGTGGTTGCTAACCTTCTTAACCGGTTCCTGGGAATATACGTCAAGAATTTCGATGCGACCCAACTCAACATCGGAATCTGGTCAGGCGATGTCAAGCTCCGGAACCTTGAACTGCGTCGCGAAGCGCTCGATCAGCTACGCCTCCCTCTGAACGTCGTCGAAGGCCATCTCGGAGAGCTCACACTATCTATCCCATGGTCAAATCTACGAGGCAAACCGGTGAAAGTCGACATTGAAGATGTCTTCCTGCTCGCGGCACCCAGAGAAGATGCGGATTACGACCCGGAGGAGGAAGAAAAAAGAGCGAATGCGCTGAAGATGGAACGGATTGAGAGCGCCGAGCTTCTGCGCGAGCGCAATGCGGAAGGCATGAGCCAAGAGGAACAGCGCCGGAATCAAAGCTTCACACAAAGTATGATCACGGCCGTGGTGGACAACCTGCAGATTTCGATCAAGAATGTGCATTTCCGCTACGAAGACTCTATCGCATCACCGGGGCATCCGTTTGCCGTTGGCGTGACACTCAAGGAATTGAGTGCTGTCAGCACAGACGGGGAATGGAATCCAACTTTCATCCAATCCGACTCCAGTGTCACGCATAAACTGGCCGTCCTCGGTGCTCTCTCGGCTTATTGGAATACGGACGCCACCCTGCTCGGAACCGGGCGAGGCTCTGATATAGGCGCAGACGCACAGGGAATCGGCCGTGCGGAGTTGATGGAAAAACTGAAAACTGCGATTGATGCAGACGAAGGAAACCAATTCATGCTGCGCCCCGTTAGTGGCCGTGCTGGACTGGAGATGGATAAGTCAGGCACATATGATCGACCCGCAATCAAAGCACGGTTGCTCTTCGATGAGCTCGGCTTCGTCCTTGATGACAAACAATATCGCGACGCGTTGATGCTGGTGGATCTGTTCCATTATTTCATTCGCCATCAGGAATATAAGAAAATCCAGCCTAAGTCCTCACCAAAGGAAGACCCCCGGGCATGGATGAGGTTCGCAGGAGAAGCCGTTCTTAGCAAGATCCATGAACGCAACAGACGCTGGACTTGGGGCTATATCAAGGAGCGCAGAGATGACCGCATCGCGTACATTGCCTTGTTCAAGAAAACGAAGAAGGAGGAAGTTTTCACGCCCGAAGAAACCAAGGAATTGCAGAGACTGGAAGCAAAACTTAGCTATGAAGATATTCGATTCTGGCGCTCACTTGCAAGGAACCAGTTACGAAAAGAAAATGTCGGGGTCAAAAAGCCCGCAGAACAACAATCATGGTCTTCCTGGCTCTGGGGCGCTAAGAAAGAGGAGTCCGAAGAGACCACCATGACCGAAGAACAACGACAAGAGTTGTATAACGCCATTGACTGGGATGAAAAGAAAGCAATCAGCGAGAGTGTAGATGTGCCCCGGGAATGGGTTAAGCTTCAGGTCAATTGGAGTCTTCGAGCTGGTAGCTTCACTCTAATCCAGGACCCTCACGGGTCGGCAAATGAGGTCATGAAGCTAGTGTTTGACAATTTCCGAGCCAAAGCACTTCAACGCCATGATTCCTATCTCCTTGATCTTGATCTTGGAGGGCTAAAGATGTATGATGGCACTACTGCTGGCACTCTTTATCCCCAGATCGTCAAGGTCAAGGATTCCCCCCTGAATCTACAAAGGTTCAAGAACTAACCGATGACGATGATGATCTTGCCTCCCAAACCAGCGCAGATGATCTTCAGGATGAGGACAGCCTGTTTCATCTGCAGCTGGAGAAGAACCCTCTCGAAAGTGATGCAGATACAGCGGTCAAGGTCAAACTAAAGAGTATTGAGGTCATTTACAACCCTCGATTCCTCGTGGGAATTGTCCAGTTCTTTGAGCCACCCGAGCGACACATGGAGTCAATTGGTGCTCTCTTGGACACCGCAGGTGCGACCGTTGAGGGACTGCGCCAGCAAACCCGGGCCGGCCTCGAGTTTGCCTTGCAAGAACACAAGAAGGTCGATGCACAATTCGATATTCACGCACCCTTGATCATTGTCCCAGAAAGTATCACACAACCAAGTTCACTTTGCTTAATTGTCGACGCCGGTCATGCCAGTGTCAACAGCGAGTTGGTGGACCGCCAAGCGATGCGAGATCTCCAGTCCAAGCAGAAACGACAGTATGAGGAGGAAGATTACAAACAACTAGAGCATCTGTTGTACGATCGCTTCCTCATCAAACTAGATTCTACCCAAGTCCTCATCGGACCTGGTGTTGAAGCAACAAAAGCACAGCTCAACACCAATGTTGAGTCTAGGAACTTCCACATCATCGACCGCATCAATGTCGACTTTGCCCTGGAGATGTGTATCGTACCGCACGTGACACAGCTTACCCGAACACGCATCTCTGGACATCTGCCAGAGCTTCATGCATCAATGTCAGACACCAAATATAAGGGCCTGATGAAATTGATTGATATTGCAATCCCGCAATTCGACACGGAAAAGTCTGTCTCTGATCCAGTCAGTGCAGCAGCAGCCAAGGAAGAAGCAGCCATAGCCACACGAGCCAGATCAGCATCCTTCCAACCATCAGTCCAACGTGACCTTCCCGTTGTTGACGACGAAGAGGAAGAGTCTGAAGTAGACAGCGAACAGGCGAAGAAGAGTGTGGATACACCGACCAATATCCATCGCCGAGACTTCGAATTTAAATTCACTGTTGGGCGTCTTCGTGGCTCACTCTTCCGTGCTGACCCCCATGACCCACAGCGGGATAAGTTGCTGGTTGAACTGGTTGCTGAAGGATTTGCACTGGACTTTTACATGCGTCCCTATGACATGGTCGCTGAGGTCATTTTGAAGTCCTTGAGCGTGGATGATTACATCGAGGAGAATCCGGTTCCTGAATTCAAGAGAATCATCTCTTCTAAAGGGTTTGATGCTGACGAAGACAAGGACTTGTTCCAGCTGAAGATGGTACGGGTCAAACCCGAGTCCCCCGAGTTAGACTCAACTTATGAAGGGGTTGCTATGAACCTTGACATATCAGTCTCGACTATCAATCTGGTCGTGACAAGGAAAACACTGCTCACGCTTCTGGACTTTATCCTCATTACATTCACAAATCCTCAACAACCGACTGAGCCCAACCCAGAAACAGACAAGGCCATTGAAGGAACACCCAGTGTGGAAGAAAAGCCCGAGCAAGCCGGAAAGATTCGCATTAGGGCTAATCTTAAGAGTATTGCTCTCATCCTCAACAATGATGGAGTCCGGTTGGCAACCTTGAGTTTGAACACTGCCGATGTTGGTATTTTCCTCGTGGGCAGCTCAATGCTCATTCAGTCTCGGATAGGCAGCCTGACTCTGGTTGACGATGTCAACCTGGGTGCCGCGGAGGACTCTGATATCAGACGCCTTTTGACCATCGAGGGAGATAACTTCGCAGACTTCAAGTACGAGACCTTCGATCCCGAGAGTGACACATACCCCGGCTATGATTCTGAGGTTTATCTACGGTCTGGTTCAATCAAGATCAATTTCCTGGAGGAGCCTTACCGAAAGATTATCAACTTCCTTGTGAAGTTTGGCAAGATGCAAGCCATTTTCAACGCAGCTCGCCAAGCCGCTGCCAGTCAGGCAAACCAGCTTCAGGAGAATGCTTCACGTGTGCGGCTTGACATTATCGTGAAGACGCCCATTGTAGTGTTCCCACGCGTTATGACGGATGATCGCCCTCGAGACACAATCACTGCTCACCTCGGTGAAATCTACGCTAAAAATGAATTCGTCCCCATGGAAGAAGCAAAGGACAGCCCTGCTGTCAACGTCATCTCCACTGGTGTCCGCAATATTCGCCTTACGTCCAAGTTCCATTTCGAAGATGGCACATCCGAGGAGCTGGAGATGATCCAGAAGGTGAACTTGGAATTTAGCATCTGCTATCTGGAGCATCAAGCAAACAATCCACGTCCGGACATGGAAATCGAGGGTTCTTTATCTCCCATTAACCTTCGTATCTCCCAGAGTCAACTCAAGTTCTTGCTGGAGCTGTCAAAGTCGATACCGGGCGCATTCGCTACAGATTCAGAACAGCAAGAGCTCGAGGCCATGGAGTCTTTGCCTTCATCGGTAACTGAACCTACAAGGGAGGCCACTTCAAAGGCCGTTCAGGCACAAAATCGCCCGGGAGGAACACCAGCGGATGACAGCGAAAACAAAGAGACTTGGGTACGACTTGATATGATCTTCAAGGTTGACAGTGTCGGCTTGGAGCTTATCCTAGCAAACGACGACCAGCCCGTCGGTCGCATAGAGGACTCGAGTCTGTCCAAGTTCTCTCTCAATGATACTCGAGTCAAGCTGCGTATGTTGACAGATGGCTCATTAGAGTCAGAGCTCCTCATTCATTCGTTCTCGATCCGTGATAGTCGCAAGCAGGATTCGAACAAGTTCAGAAATATCATGTCTTTGATCAATAACGATGTCCAGCAGCAGTTCATGGCTAGCATCTCCATGTCTGGAGGCCCAGAGAAGCATCTCATTGCGATGCTGACTATTGATAGCCCTCGCATTATGTTTGCTTTGGATTATCTGTCGGCTTTACAGTCATTTAGCCAGTCTGCATTTGCCTCCCAAGAACCAGTAGAGGCGGCGGAAGAGGAGAGCGAATCACCTGAGGAATCTGAATCAGGGTCCGATACTGCAGCAATTTCCGATAAGGCTATAACCGAGGCTTCCTCGGGCGATACTACAGCACCAGCCATGACCGTATCATTCCGGGCGAACCTTGTCGATGCTCAAGTGATCATGGTGGCCAACCCTGCCATTCCTCACTCCGAAGCTATCGTCCTTGGTACTAAGGAAGTTCTCATCTCCCACCAAAATGTGTCGACTCTGCAGATCCAAAAGGTGGGCATGTTCCTGTGCCGCATGGATAAGTTTGAGACGTCTCGACTCCGCATTCTGGATGATTTCACACTTGAGATGTCCATTGATAGCCGATCGCAAGATAAGGGATCTGCTTTGACCTCCATTGAGGTGCACCTTGAGCCTCTTGTTCTTCGCTTGTCTCTACGTGATATCCTGATGGCAATACAGATTGTCAACAAAGCCTCTGAAATGAGGGCTCAGAATGGCCAGCAGATCGAGAGCGGAGAGGCGAAGAAAATCACGGACATGAAAACAACCAGAGGGCGCTCTGCCAGTAAGACGTCCTCTACTATTGCTAAGAGAGCCCGCCGCCTGAGTCAAGGCGTTGCAAACCTGGATAGGACAACTGCGCCACAAAGTACAGTTGTTCTCAAGCGCGAAGAGATGTCTGCCAAGATTGACGGAGTTAGAGTCATTCTTATTGGCGACCTACACGATCTACCTTTGCTCGATTGGAGTGTCAAGAAATTCAACGTTGATGTGCGGGACTGGTCATCCACACTGAATGCCGATACCAACTTCGAAACGTTCTTGAACGTGTACAACTTCTCGAAGTCAGCCTGGGAGCCGTTGATTGAGCCCTGGCAGCTGGGATTCCACATGGCCAAGGAGATCAACCCGGATGTTTTCTCTTTCGACGTGTATTCGCACAAGACAATGGAGCTTACAATCACATCCGCCACGATTGCACTCGCATCCAAATCCTTCCAGTTCCTCTCTACATCTCAAGATGTCCTTTCCAAGCCAAGAGGCGCTGATGCCCCATACAGAATCCGCAACTACACTGGATTTGACCTCAGAGTTTGGGCTGACGTTAGCGCAGGAGGGGAAGGTCCAGCGGCGAAACTTACTGATGGCGAAGAATCGCCCTGGCGATTTGAAGATTCCACCGCTGTCCGTGAAACGCTGACACCAGAAGGCCACGGCGGAGTGGTCGGTGTCAAGTTGGAAGGCAGTGGCTTTGATAGCATCAGCCGCATTCCTGTCGTTCGCGAGGGCGAGACTATCTATGCCCTGAAGCCGAAGCAAGAAAATGTTCTTCACCGGCTACTCGTGGAAGTCAAACTTGGACCAGATAATGTGAAGTACATCACATTCCGTTCGCCACTTCTTATCGAGAACAACACCCAAATTCCCGTGGAGCTGGGCGTTTTCAGTCCTGGAGATGGCCATTTGTTGAAGATCGAGAAGATTTTGCCCGGCGATGCACGACCAGCACCCGTTGGATCAGCATATCTCCATTCTATTGTTGTTCGTCCCGATCAGGGCTTCGGATATGACTGGTCAGATGAGCGACTGTTCTGGAAGGACCTCATTAAGCGACCTACACGTACTGTCAAGTGCGTTAGCGAAAGCGGACAGCAGGCCCCTCCTTTCTATTTCCAAGTCAATGCAACGTTTGATAGCAAGGATTCGCTTACGAGCGTGTATCCCTACATGAGAGTCCGAATCTTTGCTCCTGTGGAGATTCAGAACTTGTTGCCCTATGATTTCAAGTACCGCATCTACGACAAGAACACCAAGAAGGATTGGACGAACTTCTTGAGGAAGGGCGGCGTCAGCCCGGTCCACGTCGTGGAGCTGTCCCATCTTCTGTTGCTTAGCATTGATCTACAAGATACGGTCTTCCGCCAGAGCGAGTTTGCTATCGTCAATGGCAATGCTCAAGACTACCGCAGAGAGCATACCTTGTCGCTTAAGGATGAACGAGGTCTTCAACTGAAGTTACAGCTTCATTACTTCAATATTCCCAACAGCGGTGGTGCTTTCAAGGTTTCTGTGTACAGCCCGTACCTTATTCTGAACAAGACTGGCCTTCCGATGGACATCCAAAGCAAGGCATTCCTTCAGTCTGCGAGAAATGCTGCTGGCCAAGGACTCAGAGCAGATCCAAGAGACGAGGGCCGTGCACTCCCATACATGTACTCTTATGCCAACGAGGATCAACGAAACCGATCGATCCTGAAGGTGAGCGATTCTGCATGGAGCAAGCCGCAGAGTTTTGAGGCTATTGGTAGTACCTTTGAGGTCATCTTCCCCGATCGCCAAGGCAGATCTGAGTTCCACTCTGGAGTCTCTGTTGCCGAAGGTGAGGGCAAATACAAACTGACCAAGGTGGTCACACTTGCTCCACGTTTCATCCTAAAGAGCAAGCTCAATGAAGATCTTCTCGTGCGCGAGCCAGGATCGTCCAATGTACTCCAGCTCCAGAATGGGGAGTTGGTACCGCTCCATTTCCTTCGTCAAGTCCAAGAGAAACAGCTGTGTCTCTGCTTCCCGGGCGTTAACAACCAATGGTCTTCGCCGTTCAGCATCGCAGATGTTGGAACTGTGCATATCAAATTGGCCAAGGCGAATCAGCGGCAGAAGCTGATTAAGGTTGATATCATCATGGAAGGAGCAACTCTTTTCTTGCACTTCAGCATCGAGTCTCGCAATTGGCCGTTCTCTATGCGCAACGAAAGTGATATGGAGTTCATTTTCTACCAAGCCAATCCAAACGTGGAAGATGATGACGAAGACGACCAAACCAGCGGCTGGAGGCCAATCCGGTATCGAATTCCCGCCCGGAGTATCATGCCATATGCATGGGACTACCCGGCGACCAAGAACAAGTCACTTGTATTGACCTGCCAAGGCAAAGAGCGCCACATCAAGCTTGCTGAGATAGGAAACCTCATTCCAATGCGGATTCCGCCTTCGCAGGCTGGCGGATACCAGAAGATCATTGACATCAACATTGCTGCTGATGGCCCTACTCAGACTCTCGTGTTGTCCAATTTCAAAGCGTCGAAGAGTATGTACAAGCAACAAAGAGGACAATCCTCCCAGACCGGCACGAACACTGGGTTCGAAATCAAGGAAATGAACTCAGACGTCAACTTCAAAGCCCAACTTCGCCTAGGTGGCATTGGAATCTCATTGATCAACCAGAACTTGAAGGAACTGCTGTATCTCACATTCCGCGAGATTGAGATCAAGTTCAGGGAGTCGAGATTGTATCAGACTCTGAACACTACGATCAAGTGGATCCAGATCGATAACCAACTCTACGGTGGGATTTTCCCCATCTTGCTTTACCCCAGTGTTGTTCCGAAGACTGGCAAGGAGATGGAAGCACACCCTATCTTCCATGCAATGGTTACACGGGTCAAGGACGACTCGTACGGTGTTCTCTATATCAAGTATGCGACCTTGCTATTGCAGCAAATGACACTTGAATTGGATGAGGACTTTGTCTTTGCTATGCTTGACTTTGTTAAGATCCCGGGTGCTTCCTGGGCCGAGGAACAAGAGGGCAAACTGTGTGACGAAGACCTCAACATTCCCGAGCCGCAACAGACAGACAATGGTCAGGATGTGTACTTCGAGCTCCTTCATCTCCAGCCCATGCAGATGGATATTTCTTTCATGCGCACTGAGCGTGTCAATGTGGAAGATGAAATGCAGCCCTCTAACCCATTGATGTTCTTTGTCAACGTCATGACAATGTCGATGGGTAATGTCAATGATGCACCTGTCCGACTCAACGCTCTGATGCTTGAGAACGCCCGTGTCTCTTTCCCTAGCCTGGTCGGCAATGTCCGTGCCCACTACACTCAAGAGTTCCTGCGCCAGATCCACATCATCCTCGGTTCGGCCGATTTCTTGGGTAACCCTGTCGGTTTGTTCAACAATGTCAGCTCTGGTGTCGCCGCCATCTTCTATGAGCCATACCAGGGTCTGGTCATGACTGACCGTCCCCAAGAGCTGGGTATTGGTATCGCAAAGGGTGCCACAAGCTTCGTCAAGAAATCTGTCTTCGGTTTCTCGGACAGTATGGCCAAGCTCACTGGAAGTATGTCCAAGGGTCTCGCCGCCGCTACTCTTGATAAGGAATTCCAAACCCAGCGCCGGATGTCCAAGGTGCGCAACCGCCCCAAGCACGCTCTGTATGGAATCACAGCCGGTGGCAATGCATTTGCAACTAGTCTAGCAAGCGGTATCGGTGGTTTAGCCCGTCATCCACTGCAAGGTGCCGAGAAAGAAGGTATCCAAGGATTCTTCAAGGGTGTTGGAAAGGGTGTTCTTGGGTTGGCTACCAAGCCAGCAATTGGTGCATTCGATCTTGCCTCCAGTAAGTTTAACCATGTTCTCTCTCTGATAATTCATAACTAACAATTCCCTACTAGATCTGGCAGAAGGTGTTCGCAACACCACTACCGTTTTCGATGCCGAAGGTCTCGACCGTGTCCGGCTCACTCGCTTCATTGGCACCGATGGCATCGTGCGCCCGTACTCGCAACGCGAAGCTCTCGGGCAGTTCTGGCTGAAGACCACGGACGACGGTAAATACTTCAACGAAGACTACATTGCCCACCTAGAGCTTCCTGGTCGAGACATGCTGGTCTTGTTGACGTACGCACGCATCATGTTGGTTCGCACAAAGAAGCTGTCTAATGAGTGGGATATCCGTCTCACGGATATCCAGACAATCTCCAAGGAGCGCACGGGAATGAGTATCACACTCAAGGGTGGTGCCAACGGACCATTCATTCCTGTTCAAGACGAAAGCTCACGGAACTGGCTGTATAGACAGATTGCTATTGGTAAGTGGTTACCTAGATCATGCTAGATAATATCACATGCTAACCAAATTCCTTTTCCAGCTGTCAATGCTTTCAATGAGAAGTATAATGCCAGGGGATAGAGTGTACAAAGCACTTCCCTGGGGGTTCTTAACGATGTCATGAGATGGACTGCTTTCATTTTTGGGACGGGGATTATCAAAATTCACAGAGCATATGAAGGGTAAATTGCTCTCGGTTTCTCAGCTTCCATTCACGTACATAGGTTGCCTAATTTTTGCGTTCTGGCCTGTTTTGATGGCTTTTTTTACTGCTTTTCCTTTATGTATACAGCGAGGAAGAGTTTGGTTTTTGTGCAATTCTACGATTTGTTTAATAGAGCTCAATCAGACAACTTTAGTATCTAAAATTGACTTGTTTTGTAAAACATCTCTTCGTATTTCAAGAAATGGAACAATGGGCAATTCCCTAATAAAAATGATATCAAAAGCCTCCTACGCAGCGGTATAGGCGCCAACTGCCAAAACCTCATTTCCTAGTAAATATTCCAAAACTAGGCATTAAGGTATCAGCGTTTACTGGAAATAGGGTTTTGGCAGCTGGCGCTTGTACCGCTGCGTAGGCTTCAGATTCCTCTAAACTAGATATTGAAGTAAATCATATGTGCCTTCTACCTCAACGCCAGATAACTCCAAGCAAAAGAAACCTGAGATTTCAACAAGCCAACCATCCCAAATGGATATGAATCAAGGAACAGCCCTGTCTGGCCCCATCTCCTGAGCCGTGTTCTTGATCGTATGAAGAAACATAGACGGGAAGCAATGTCGACCATAACGATCCTCCGAGGTCTAGAACAGTTAAATCAGTCAATTGTTCCCATAATCCCAAGATAAGCATCAAAAGCAAAATATATGTACTCACCATTTTCCCACCCTCGTGCTCCGCAGTCCTGTACCCGAGCCACCGTCTGTACAAATCCTCCCCGCTATGCGTGGTAAACATATACGACAGCCGGTACATGATATGATCAAACATATGATCAAAATTCCATATACTATCCGGGCCCCCATTAACATTCTCCGGCGGACCAGGGTTGTAGATCCGCGCCAGTTCCCTCGGCGTCCACTGCCCATCCGTATAGATAGGGTGCGGAACATGCACAGCCTTGAGGCCATGGAACAGAGCCCACGATGCACCCGTCATCTCAGATGCAAGACCAAGACCCTTCGTCGCCTGCGCGTGGTGGATCAGATCCAGCAGACGCTTAGAATACCGACCCATCGTAATTACCGCTGCGCGGCGCGGTGTCCACGGCCCGTGTCTGAAGTTCCAGATCTTGTCTGGGAATGTCCACTGTGTGTCGTGTGGGTTGAAGATTGGGAGGAAGGTTATGAAGTCTGCTTCTTCGCCTACGCCCCAGGTGTAGTTGTCTTGGTCTGGGGATGGTACTGGAGGGTCTGGGCCCAGTGGTCTAATCCCGGTGCCGGATACGGGGCCCCAGATTGTGCCGTTGGATCTGTCGGATAGGCTTTCGTCTACCATTTGTGTGAACTCGCTCCAATTGCCGTGCGCGCCGGGGGTGTAGAAGTAGGCGTTGCGCTCCCAGAGGTATTTTCGGGGTTGTTCGCGGGCGAATGAGACTGCACGGTCTAGGAAGTGGTAGATGTGGCCTGTGTGTCGACCGTCCATTTCTAGTTGCCAATAGTAGTCATAGTGGGGATAGAGCTGGGAGAAAATCTGTAGAGGTTGGTGGTGTTGGAGTTGGGGGCTGTCGGTGCTGTTAGTTAAGTGTGTCTTTTAACGTCAGTCAATGGGAAGAGGTTAATTCACCTGTGCTCTTCTATCTTCGGATACCAAGCTTCCAAGAGTTTGTTATTGAAGAAAAGAGCCATATTCCGAAATTCCTTGGGAATAGCATTTCTGAGCCGGTTGATAGTCTTGATATCAGAAAATATGGGCATCTCGTTTTCCTTGACATGACACAAGAGGTAGATTTGGTACTCCCCACCAGAATGCAAGGTAAGTTCCATAATCAAAGCCCGAAGGTATTCACGATGGTGAGGCTTCCAATTGAGCCCATTCCACGCCCGAATCAACACAGCCGAGCGAGGATGGAACCGCTTCACACCCGAAGCAGCCACAGGTGACTCCGGTGTTTTGTGAGGATCCTGGGGAAGATCGAAGGCCAGCGGACTCGGGTTCGAAGAATTGGCAGTTTCAATTGACTCATATCTGTCTGCATTCCTTTCGAGGCACAGATTTTGCAGCCTATCCCAATCAACCTCGCACCACGGCACTGCGGAAGGACGCGTGAAGCCCGGTACCTCGTCCTCGCCATCGTCGTCGTATCCATATGCCCCAAAGCGAGAGTATCGATCCGTGCAAACGTTTCCGTCTAGACCCAATGCTTCGTATGATCCGAATCTTGGTGCTGGGAACTCGGCTTGTTGGCCCTTGTAGACTTGTACCATGTCTTCTACAGACCGGCGGTCGAGGTAGCGACCCCTGGGGCCAAGACAGGGCTGGAACTTTCCATAGAACTGCTTCTTCCATTCTCGGCTGTTGTAAGCCGGGTATGGGTCGTAGATAAGTGGAACTGGGTGTGAGGCATTGACGGACTCGATACTAGTTAGGGTTAAGGTACCGCCCTGATAAAATCGCTTGTCTCTAATACAAGGAAAATTTTTAGCATGATATTATACCAGTACGCTCGTAAAGTATTTTGGACCGGGTACAAACCTCCGATCGTGTGCTATGCCCAGTGCATCCGGCTCAGGTGAGTCTTCGTCTGCTACCTTGTCCCACACACCAATAGTTCCATGATACTGACCAGGCCGAAGAATCCCGGGGCCACGTAACGAAGCATTGACAGTCATGAGATTTGTCTCCGGATATCCAAAGATATGTGAGCTAGTCTGGATAATGGTGACCAGACAGGCAATATACCCTAGCCAGCGCAACCTGATCCACCGACGATCCCATGGAGAGACAGCAGACCTGGTGTAAAATGGAGACGGGGTCCTATTTCTTGAGAGGAGCTTCATAGTGAGCGAGAGTTAAGGCGCAAGATAGATAATGGCATCCTTTGGCTTTGGAAGCCACAGTATGTGCGTGGTGGGCGTGGTAAGATGGAAAGTGAAGTTCAGAGGTGAGCAATCAGATTGTACGGACAGGTGAAGCATATATGAGAGAAGGTTGAAGCAATGGGATTGTTTGATCGTAATATCTACGAGACTGGAGGGTTTGATAGGGGGCAGAGGCCTACGATGTCATCACTACGCGGTGTTGACTGCATCTCCGACTAACACTTGGGTAATGCCACACTGGAATCCAACCCGATCCATAGGACAGAATGTTGTCTCAAGTTGCACAAGCCAAAATGATTATATGTTGGGATATTACTTGGAGTATTATGCCGCTAATATATAAGCTGCGTGATTGTCATACAGTGTACCACGTCGCGGGACATACAACGAGTACTTGGTAAATAGTATTAGACCAGAGGACCAACATGGTGAAAGAACCTCCAAGTCTTTCCATTTGAGGAGCGGATGTCACCCTCGTTTCCCAATTTGGCTGTTCGTTGAATTTATAAAGCACAACGAGTATTGACCATTGCTTGTTCTTTCCCTTGTCACACTCACTTCTTGTGGCTTGCCACGAGGGGAATTATAGAGCCTTGAAACACAATATCATAATCTCAAATATAGAGAATTCCACAGCGTTTATATAAAGAGCAAATAAAAATAGCACACGTCTTTCATTTCTGTACTAAAGATAGCCCACGCTATCAGAGAGCGTATGACGTGGGGAGGCGAAGGAATATATACGAACGGCCATTAATCACATTTGTCGTTAGGAGTTGTTTGATCAGAGAAACCAATGAGATACCCTCCGCCAATCCAATGAAACCAAAGAATGACAATCACCCAAGCTCCATCTATGCAAAGTAGCTCTTCCATAGAACACCTGATAAGTCTTCGAGCTGATCTGATGTGAAAGCCTAAAATAATAATGATTAGCCTGTTTGTTTCAAAATAGGACCGAGGTTAAACACAAAAGCACAAACCTTTGCATCAATGTGCCAAGTATCTTGTCTAGTCTTCTTAAACTCGCTGATAATCGACTTCACGCTCGAACCAACGATGCCAGGGTCATTGGCCGCGCGGATACTGAGTGAAGTCAATGCCTCGGGCATCCAGTGAGGCGGAGGACTGTTGTAGGGGAAGGCCTGGATCAAAGCACCAAGACCCAGTACAGCACCGTGGCGAACAATAATCAAGCGGTTGTGCTCGGGAGTGGGGGTTCCAGCGCCAGAAGACACAGCTGAGGAGGCAATTCCTGGGCGCAAGTTCTTCGGTTTCTTGGGGAGAGGGTTGTCTGCCAGAACCTTCGTGAAGCGTTCATGGAAGCGACTGACCATCTTTTCCCGCAGGAAGACGGGCGAGCATCGGACCATACCGGATAGTGTGGCCGAGGCGCCAGCACGGACTTCGTGTTGGGGGTCTTCAAGCATGGAGGCGATACACTCAAAGAGTTTGTCGCGGTCTGCAGGGTCGAGCAGGAACAGGCGGCGGAAGTAGATGATTTGGATGTTGATCATGATACGCAGGCGTTGATGCCATGATGGGGAAGTCTGTCCGATGCGGATGAGAGATTGGATGAATTCGGAGTCTTTCTCAGCTGGGTACGGAATGTTGGGGAGATGACGGAAAACGTGGTATGCGAGGGACTGGAGCTCTGGATCTTCCTTCACGTCCATCATGTGCAGGAGCTGCGCGGTGAAGACATCAGGGAAGAATGAAACAAGCTGGGTACACTCGTGAGAAGACAAAGTCGAGTCCAGCCAAAGGAGAACAGTTTTACTACCCGAGGTGTAGGATGAGGGTGTCTGTTGGCCGGGAGTTCTGGCCTTCCGCCATTCTTCGATTTGACTGAAAACTCCACGGATCATCTTGGTAAATTCTTCGGTAGGCGGGTAGGGGTATGCGCCAACAGAAGAGGAGGATTTCTGGGCCTCGAGAAGATGTTGAACATCAGGGTACGACTCGTGGTACCTTGTGCGATAAATAGTTGCAAGAGTCTGGCCCATTGCCTCGCGGACGCCCTTGTACGGGTGGTCTAAATGTGCAAGGAAATCTTCCACAATGGGCTTCTCAAGCTGGTAGTGCCAACCAGAATCAATGATACATTGATGCAGGAGGTTGATCTTGGAACTTTCCTTGAATGCTGCGTTCGTCGACATGTCAAGACGGAAGCTGGATAGCCAATCAACCAACGGCCACGCGCGGCGGGGATCACGGCATTGAAGGATCATGTGAAGGAATGTTGTCCAGTAGCCAGAGTTCTCTGGAGTGAGGCCATCGGTGAAGATCTTTCTTACGATAGGGAATGCATATTCCCAAACCATGGTCCGCTTCTCCACCCCTGTATCCGTTACAGAGGAGATCAAAGCTCCGAGGATTTCAGCCGTGGCACGATGTTGGTGCTTATCACTGCCGTCTTCAAAGACTTCCTTGATCTCTTCTTTGATTTCCTCGAACGACACGGCTGTAAGCCCATCCCGTATCATGAGCTCGAATGCGTAGAGAAGCATCATGGCACAGGACATGCGGAACTTGTCAGCAGATGGGTCCCGAGGCTCTTGCTTCAAGTACATGAAGAACTTAGAGAACCACTCGCGAGTGAACAACTTGCCCATCTTGGTGCGAACCTTCCATTCAACATCGTCATACTCGATATCCCGTGCTACATTGGACTTGTAAGCCGGCATAGTCTTGCCCCATACGAGCCATCCCGGGAAGTCGTGATCAACGTAGTACTCCGCCTCAGGCTTCGCAAAGCTAGAAAGATACTCTTCGGTGTATCCTTTCTCATAGGGTTTGGTTGCAACCTTGATCTTTGATGGGAATCGCTGATGACCAAGAATGTAGTTCTTGTACTCATGAGTGCAGATGGCCCGCACATCAATCATAGTGAACAGCGCGATGAGAGCCTGGGAGTACATGCCTCGCAAGCCAGGGTGGTCGTCAATAGACCCGAGTGTCATCAGTTCGATCAAGTTATCGCTGGCGATGTAGTCGAAGCGGAGACCCATAGTGATGACGATAGTCGCAGCGCGGCTGGCAATCTTCCAGTGGGATACCCGTGCCAGGTTGACCAGCTCTTCGGCTAGGTCCGCTTTCTTTTTCTCGATAGCAACGCGCTTGCTATTGACAACTGCGCGCTTTTTCTCGATTTGCCCGGTGACATCTTCGGTGGGCGCAATTGCCTCCACAATTTCTTGATCTAGGATAGCCATTCGCTCCATTGCGCGGCCGTAATCCATGACCTGGAAGACAGCAGTGGAGCAAATCTTCTGGACAGAAGGCTTATCAACAGCGCTAGCATCGATAAACGTTCTAACCACGGCGGGCGCATACTTCCAATGCCGCCCGACAGTCTTGGCTACACTACTCAGAAGCAGCGAGTAGAGTGCTCCCTTGATGCGTGCATGATCATTTTCCTTGACGCCTCTTTGCAGAGCCGTGAGCAGAGGGGGAATGACGAGTAGTCTGCCGCCATAGACTGCCTTAAGTGCCGATTCGCCTGCGTTTTGGGCATTGCGGCGCGTTTCCGTGTAGAGAGATACACAAGATTCAGCAATATCAAGAAGAAGAATTTCATCAAGCTTGGACCGAGGACGGGGGAAGCGTTGTGTCGTAGGCGTTGAAGGTGGTACACGTTGGCTCTGCGCACAAGCAGGGGTCTGGGGTAATCCTTTCGCATACCACTCATCTTATAAGGATGAATATCCGCGGCCAAGAGGCGAGTCACTCGGTCGAGTACATGTGCAGACCTCTCAATGCCCACATCAACAAACCACGATCTGAACGCAGAGTACAAAGCCCCAAAGCAAGGAACATCATCTTCCTGATTGTCACTCAAGAACCGGTGTACATCATGTAAGACCCAACCAGTTCGCTCACGGAGTTCATGGATGGTAGTATATAAGGGGTCTTCCTCCCTAAGGGCATACCCAGTGGGGTAGGTGAAAGCCTGTCTGATTATAGCATCATCAGAGCTGTCCAGCACAGTATCAGCATCTTCATCAACGTCATTTGAAACACCCGAATCATCACCCATCTCAACATCCCCGGAAGTGCCGTTCGAGGGTCCTTGTGTTGTGGTTGATGCGGCTTTGGAGTCAAAGAGGACAGAAACTCCAGACAACACGAGCCGCAGGAGCACAAGGTTTCGAGTAACCTCATCTGACCAGTCTTTGCCGCTTCCATCACGCTTGACAAGTGATGTCTCATGAGTCAGCGCAGATAGCGACTTCAAAGCCGTCTCTGTTTGGATTTTAAAAACGTCGACGGCAAACTCAATTTCCTGACGGGTCGGTACATGCCAATTGATGTTGAGGTTGTTCACATCAGCTTGGTAACTCCAGAGCTTTGGCTCGATGCCGTTCGCTTTGACAGAAGGTTCGTAGAGTGAGAAATCATTAGTGTAGGTCCCAGTCAGGTTGAGCAAAAGGTGATGAATGAAGTTGGAAATATGAACGGTAGGAATGCCACGGCAGTTCTGTTGCATGTAGACTGCAATGTCAAACAGTTCCTGGCGGTGGTCAATGACAGCGCTGCCGACGTGCACCACGCACATGCTCAGCATACTGACATTCCAGACCAGACCTCGATCACGAGGCAAAACATCGGTTCCCGTGGTTCGGGTTGATCCAGCACCATTATCTTCGATCTCAGTGCGAATCGCTGAGGTCAAGACAGGGATAAAACGCTTGAGGGCCTTCTCTGGGTTAACCTTGCATAGGGCGTTGCAGATGAAAGCCATTGCATCACGAGCCTGGTGGATAACATGGTTGGACACGAAATCCACAATTTTTCCCAAAGCGATATCGTAATACTCCGGAGACAAAGAAGCGAGCAAAGGCATGAACGTGGCGGGAAGAGTATTCACGATATTCTCTTCGGGTGAACCGTTTCGAACCCTGGAGACGTCCGGCAGGTTTTCCAATAGTGTGAAAACACGACCCAGGAAAGCTATCGTGAAATCTCCGAAGCCACATGTGGAAGAGCGCAAGATCAATTCCTCAGTCTCATCATCCAGCTCTGTATCATAACCCAACTGTACATCCGACCCCTGCTCTTCCATCCTCTCCATTTCACCTGAGATCCATTGCATGGCAAGCATGTTACAGTTAACGTCCTCCCGCCCTTTGGTCAAGTCGACCATTGGAATATTGTAGCAGGCCGATTGGATGAATGACAGAGCATGAAGCGATTTTTCAAGATCATTCGCGTCAATGCCAGGAAGTGTCAGACCCAACAAAGTCGTCATATGACAACGATAGCCCTTAGTGCGCGAAATAACACGAGATAGCGATGTCATAGCTCGAAGAGAGGATGCAGTCCGGTGTACTTCGACGAGACCTTGCAGCGCAGGGTAGATTCTCTGTAAAGCACCGGGTAGGATGAGATGCGGTTCTAAGTAAGCCAGACCTTGCAAGGTCGACAGGGAGAAGGTCATTGCAGTGCTGCTCTTAGCATATATGCCCATGAAGATTACGTCACGGATGCACAAGACAAATCGCCGCTTCAGTGGCTCATTCAATCGTCGCTCAGGTGGGACATCCATCTCACCGGTTTGTTCACGATTCCAGCGCATGACGAAGAAATCAGTCAGGTAATAAACCAGCTGCGATAGGGTCTTGGTCCAATGACCCGAGTTTGAAGGATGGAAAAACGTCTCAACGGCTTGGATAAGACCTTCGAGCTGTGTGAGAACTGAAACCTCGGCATCCACACAAGCGGGGGAGAGCGACATCACAATCCACCTGGCAATATGATGAGCAACCGGGTGCTTCCGCCCATCTCTATCAAGCATGATACCCAGACCAGACGAAATGTCCACCAGGGCACTATAAGGGGAAGTGGATTGCCCGACGGGGATTTCCAACAACCTCAGTATCGCGGTGAAAATGAGAGCAGACTGTTCCTTTGTGAATATACCATGCTCGGAGAATGGAATGTGAGCAGCCGGTAGAGAATCTCGGGCCAATCGGGAAAAATAGTCCAGATATGTTGTGTCAAATGTTTTTGAACGACCGACCAATGACCATAAATGGAAATGTGTAGGCAGATGGCTCTGTGGTAGAAGATCAACTCGGGAGTCGGGAGCCGGGGATGTCGGAAGCAGCAAATTAATGAGCCCGGCGACAACGAAGGCACCTTCTGAGAATGATGTGGTATAATGAGGCAAGAACTCTTCGAGCATAGCGGGAAGCTCACACGGATCAATGAATAATTGAGCGAATGCGCAAAGCTTGGTCAGGGTTTTGACATTCCGCTTCAAGTTGGTCGAGTGAACAAGGCCGGACTCGGTGGGGAGAACAAAAGCCTTGAGCTCCTTGTATAGAGGCTTCCAATCTAACACGAGGTCTTTGACTGGTTTCAGATAATGTTTGCGCCTGAATTCTGAGTTAGCAACCACACTATCCCCGCAACAACGCTGATAACCTGACTTACTTGGTAAGAAGCATGAACATGCTCGAAAATCGCTCAGCCACCGATGGGTCAATCCCAGGAGCAAGTGCAAGCTCAAAATACAATTTTACAAGGCTGATGCGCTGCGCCCGAGTCGGATCGAACTTGAGCGACAGCCATGCGCGTAGCTCGCGTGTCCAGTGCACGGCTCCGGGGTTGAAGTCGCCGGCCTCCACTGCAATATAAAGCTGGTTCAAAATCTCTCGCAGATTTTGATTCCGCTCGGTCTCATCCTCGAGCTTGTATGGGAGATATTTGAAGTATGGATAGGTACGGGGCCGCACGCGGGCTATCGGTTCGCCTTCGCTATTCACAGCGACGGGTTCACCACCGGGCGAGGTCGCCCGGGAGAGCTCTTGTGCATGGTGGAAATTGTCGGATGTGAGAATTGCCTTGGGGCCGGAGGCTTCCATCGTCGGATGAGGGGTAGGGAAAGGAATGGTCGGCACGAGGTGGAGATGAGGTGAGGGAGGAGTAGCCGTTGTCGGGTTGAGCTCTGGCAGCAATACGTCAGCAACGCCTATGTTTCACGGGTATATCTTTTTTCCCGCGCAGTATCAATCACAGAACAAGTTTCGAAGGAAATCGTACTTTTAATGAAACTCTAAGGCTCCTACTCCGAAAAGCGCGGAATTTGGAACCGGAGATTGTATTTCACACGGCTGTGTTCGCATGAGGTACCTTTTTTTTCTCGGCAAACGAGGGGGAATTTGACGAGCTCGTATTCGTTTGGGTAATTGAGCAATTCAGGATTTCAGCCTCCGTTTCTTCGTTTCTTCTTGAAATGCCTGGATGTTGAAGGTCAAGATGTCAAAGGGGAGATGGTCGAGAGTTATGATGACATAATTATACGTAACGAACTTTGGAAGCTTGGGCCCTGCAGAGCGACCCGCGTGGAAAGATGGAGACTAAAAAAGATATAGGATTTGGTTTGGATAGTCCTCTGAGGAAGAAATGTGAGATTCTGTTTCTTTCACATCTCTTCTTTTTCTAATTTATAATCGTTCAGTTAGTGGGCGACTGCGCCTTTACAAGGTTTATCCCAACTTAGGCAGACAGCCACCTTACGCAAGCATATCGCCCAACCCAATTCGGGATGGCCGCATTTTTTGGCCATTCGCGGCAGTCTAGGCCATGTCTTATACCTAAGTAACTTTAAATCACATATCAATATACAAAGCAGGTGACTCGGACCAATATCGAGTCGGGTCATCGCTACTCGTCATTCTCTTTCATGCTGGGGGTAGGAAAGAACCGAAAAGAACTCCCTGGATCAACGCGTAGCCCACCATGCTATACACAGCGACCACGAGGGTCCGGCTTTGCTTGGGTGAGCTTGAACTGAGATCTACAGCACTGGTAACCAAATACCAGTACCACACGGGATACCCCGATGAGATGCGATTGATGATCTGGACATGGTAGCTGGTGAATGCCATAACAGCCAGCAAACCCTGAGGAACTGCCAGCCGAACGAGCATCGATCCCGGGCTCGTTGAAGACGAAGAGGGACTTTGTAAGGCCCACAAGGAGGATCGGCATAGAAGGGCCAACATAGGCCCCGCCAGCAGGAAAAGAGGAATATTGGGGACAGTCCAATATTTTAAGAACCCGACATCCCTATTGCAGTCAGTAAGAGTGAGAACAGCGGCATTGAGACACGAATCACAGCTTACCAATAATGATTTTGAACCCAGCCGTAGATGCTAGGCAAAGTCCACTCACACCATGGCCGAAGATCACTCTCGGACAGGCAGTACATGCGATAGGCCAGGAATTGAGGAATGATCATCCCAGATCCTACGATACAGCCACCAACAATAATCACGGCAAGGCGGACGATAGTGTGCAGTGTAGGCCCTTTGGTCAAGATCTTCCAAGCCAAAACTGCTGCATCATAGGCAAATAGGAACCCGCTGAGGATCCCATTGCTGCGGACCATGGTCGCAGCCGCGAACAAAACAGCGGATGTGAGCACTCGAATATCGCGCAGACGCGTTGCCCCATTGCGCTCAGCAATGAGAGATGATGAGTAGAGGTAAAAGCCAGTCATGTTTAAAACAGAGACTATCGACTCTCCATAGGGTGCGGACAGAAAGGCGCCCGCTGGTGAGATAATGTGAAGAGCCGCAGATAGGAAGCAAATGAGATGTTGGGTGGCAGTCGCATGACCAAAGATATTGGCCGACAGACGATAAAGCGCCAATACGGACAAATAATGGGCAACGTGGGAGAGAACCACACCTACCATTGCAGTGCTAGCGGGTCCAGCATCTCCGCCAGAGAGACGAATACCTATTCATAGTATCAGTGTGCGCTAAAAACGAGATACCCAAGATGGGTAGAGTAATAGAAAGAATTATGTACCGGCAACAAAGATAGATAGAAGCTTAGTGTAGCCCCAGCCAAAGGCCCATTCTTGTTCAAACAGATATCCCTTTTCGGCAATATCTACGTAGTAGATACTGTCCCATCTGGCAAATTTAAGGGGTCCCGAGAGAGACTCGGAGTGGGCAACCGTTGATGGATCGGCAAGATATGAGATTAAGGAGGTGGATGTATCATAGCCTGATCCTGGACAAGCGACAACGACGATGTACAACAAGACCTTCCATGACCAAAAGGCCAGTGTCAAACTTCGAATTGGGTTGTCCAATCGTAGTAATTTGGCAAATAATGGCGGTGGCCTTGTGGTAGGTTGGGCTGAAGCCATGAGAGGTTTCCAGTGACTTTCGCCACTAAGGGTGATTGGAATGAAATATCGGGACCTCGGGAGTTTCCGCACTCAGGACTAATGGGATCGGGTTCACGGGGGCTAGATGTCGGGATATTTACCTCGCGAGTGTCCGATTATTTGTGATCCGGTCTGCCGAGGTAGCCTGTAACTTATTTTCCCAGGAGGTGAGAGTTGAACGGCTCGGCATAAATGTGCAGAATGTGCATAATTAGTCATTCGGGTCCACGACTCGGGCTCTGGAGACTCCCGTCTTGATCAACGCCTCCGTAGGTATGATCGCCGATGATGTATGATGTGTATACTTTAAGTGGCAACTGTGATTTGTAAAACAGCAAAGATGTCTGAAAAATCAACCTAGAAACTTTGCCTTATACCACCCTGCACTACTCTTATCTGCGCCTCTACACATCGTATATCGATTTGCAGGGATCTCCATTATTCCCACTTTGATCAAGTGAGCTCTTCCGAAATGAGCTAGTTCATCAAACTCTCTCCGGCACATCAATCTGCCCGATTCTAAAGGTTAAATTTGATTAACTTGATTAGCAAAATCCCTCAGGTTATTCAAGATAAAAATTCAGTCTTTGAACGTGATAGTCCCACTATACCAAGAATATATATGGATACTCTCACACTCGTACGGGAGTATATGAGCCATATATGGGCTCATAAGGTAACAAACCTCGGGCAAATCTGCCCATATTCCCACTAAGATGGGGCTTGCCAAGCACACAGGGCTAAAAATCCTTGTCACGATCTCAGACAGACCAAAAAGACTATGAGTAATCGTCACCGGAATTCGGATGTGTCGGAGGCCGTATACTACCGAGCCCGCTGACAAGCATAATCCGAACATCCACGGATAGATTTTATGCATTGAAAGATACATAATTACCAAGTATGAACCTTGGAAAACCAATTAGACCCAATTAAACACAACTGAACACAACTGAACATAATTAAACAATTAAAATACACACTTTACACACTTTGGATTAAACTTGTGCAACATACTACTATGTCAATCGGTGTCCACTACCACCTTTTTTTTTTTTTTTTTTTCTTTTTTTTTCATTACATAGCTCTATAAGGCTGACCGCCCCATTCGTATTAAGGAAATCCTTTATTCCAAGATTGCTCCTGCAATTAAACATCCCTTCCACTCTTTAAACCTTTCATCCCCCTTGCATCTTCTTTTTCTTACATACACATCTTGCAAGTGTTTTACAATCTTGACTTGCATTTCTGTTCGGCCTTTGCAATCGTGATTAGGTCTTCCCCACACATAGCTCCGGAGCTGAACATTCCCCCCGCAGCTGACGCGTTTGGATCCGGGCTTGTTCATGACTAGTACATTGGGTCTGGGTGAAATTCCACAAAGATTTGGCACTTTAACACCAATGTGGCTCCGCTAGAGCTCAAGAATGCTGTTGAATCTTGGCCTCACAGCGGATGCCGCAGCAGCCCATGCACCAGAATCCCGGCCTTCTGCCTGTCCTGTTTACTCGCCTACCTGCTTACTGTCTGCTCTACCATTGTTGAACTCCTTCTGCAGTCCTCCCAGGCTCCCTGATGGTTCTGCTGATTGTCCGGGGCTTGTATCCGCTATGGTCATGAGTCCGATTGAGTCAGCCTCGGACCCGGGTGAGCCCTCCACAGAATCAGCTGTTGTCGCCAGGCCCCAAGTCACCCGTTCAGCCACAGGTCGGAAATCTCGACCCAAAACGTCATATCAGTTCGCCCATCCCGCCGCTCATGCTCGCCACAAACGGCTGAGACTTCGTCCTAAGCTCCTCCTACAGCTACAACAGGTGTCGCAAACCCCTCGCCCACTACCGGTAGTAGATGTTCTACCATCGACATCTTACCTACCACTATTGGCCCGCAAGTTCCCGGCCATCTATCGGACCAGAAATGGATTGGGTCCGTATGACCTAATCGTGGTGTTGAGCGAACAATACGACCGGACGGTGGGCAGCATTCCTGAAAAACGCGTCAGCTCGGAGGATGAGGACGAAGATCATCGGGAGGTGGTCGCCACGATCTGTCAAATGCATCAAGAAGATGCTCGACTGAAAGGAAAGGCGGAGATATGTCTGAACTTCGGGCCTGTCTGGGAGGCTTCACCTCTCCCAAGTGGGTCTTACGAGTTCGTCGCTCAGACAGATAGTGGCTTACAGATCATGCGGTGGGCTTTGCGTGGTGGGAGGAGCCGTCGGATGACTACGCCCACAGCGCAATTACGTGAGGACAGCAAACGCTTCACTTTCAGCGTCATCGATCCTACCACTCGCCGGCATCCCGTTCTCGCCTCTATGACTCGAAATAAGTTAGAAATCAATGATGAATATTCCACGGCTGTTCGGTCCGGTACCGGTCCCACGACTCCAAGTTCAGGAATGTCGGTCGTGAGTGATGCCTCGGATGCAGAGACTCCCCTCGATGACAGCTCCGTCACCCTTGATGATGGACTGCGAACTTTGATTGTCATCACCGGCATCTGGGTTGCCTTCCGTGAGGGGTGGTCAGACAACTTCAGCTACGGCGACCTGGTGTCTTCATCTAGTGCAAAATCGATCCTGTCTCCAACATCGGTGAAACATCTATCTCCGACGATCGCCAAAAATGAAACCAACTCTTTCCCGAACAATGATGAAGATGGCAAACGCTGTATGT